CTTCGGAATCTATTATATGTGGAAACTGTTCAGAAGAAGACCTCTGGACCAACACTATTGGATTATTGTTTATTCGCTGACCTGGGCCAACGACGAACTATTTTAAAGAGAACAATTGTTAGTGAGTCTGTTCCATCTGACCTATTTATTTTTGTATACCCAACTTAGCGTAATTATTTTTATTACTTTGCCACACACTCCTGGTAAACTGACTTATTGGGTAGCCAGACCACTACAAATTTGGTGAGCCCGAGTATTTCTAGATATTTTTTTTGAAAACTTTTCCTTTCAAATCGTCGTAATTTTACTTCTTTTGCCCGGTAATCATGGAGGCACACTTTGACTCAGCGGAATTAGTCGAGAATGCAATTAGTATACGTTTACCAGAGTATAATCCACGCAACCCAAGGGTATGGTTTCACCAGGTTGAGGCCGTTTTTGCCACCCGACGCATCGCTTCCCAAGTCACCCGGTTTTCCTATGTTGTCCAGCATCTTCCTTGTGATGTAGCAACAGAAGTTGAAGATCTGTTGGAAGATATTCCTAAGGAAAATCCGTATGACGCCCTTCGAGCGGCCGTCATAAGTAGGACAGGGAAATCAGAAAACAAAATGCTGCGGGATTTATTCACCACCGTCGAACTTGGGGACAGATCGCCATCACAAATGCTTCGCCACATGCGCAGTCTCCTCTGCGGCCGTAAGCTAGCAGAGGAGATCATGGCCCAACTATGGCTCGACAAACTCCCACCCTCCATGTCCCACGTCATCAGCGCTTTCGTTGATGACCACAGCTTAGAGCAGCTAGCCCGGATGGCGGATAAGATACACGAAACATACCCCAGTAACTCCGTAAACTCCGTCTCCCGCCCTGCACCCACTACAGATTCCGACCCGCTTCTTGCTTCTATATCGCACCTACAAACCAAATTTGACGCTTTGACCGATCGCCTACAACGGTTAGAGATCAACAGGCATCGACCACGTTCACGATCCAGATCGTCATCTCGTGCCCGTCTCCCTTGGTGCTGGTATCACCAAACTTATGGCCCAAAAGCACGCAAGTGTCAACCACCTTGTTCTTTCAAGCCGCGTTCCAACACCCCTTTAAACACCCCGGCCAGTCAGTAACGGCGACGACTGTCTGTGGCCCTCCTCGCACTAGTCGCCTGTTCCACATTACCGATCGTTCAAGTGGTCTACGTTTCCTCGTAGATACGGGAGCTGAAGTTAGTGTGCTACCACATAAGAATCCACTTCGCGATTCTCCTTCTTCCTCCTTACAAGCCGCCAACGGTACCCGCATCGCTACATACGGCGAACGTTCCCTCACACTTGACCTTGGATTGCGACGTGCGTTCAAGTGGATCTTTCTTTTGGCCGACGTCCAAAAACCCATCATCGGTGCAGATTTCCTGACCCATTACAGTCTATCTGTCGACGTGCGACACAAACGTCTTATAGACACGCTTACATCTCTCTCAGTCAACGGAATTAGTGCCCCAACTTCATCCACAGGTATCCGCGTTATCTTACCGGATTCACATTTTGCTGACATACTTAGGGATTTTCCAACCCTTACTCACCCATGTCAGTACACCCAACCGGTCACTCATTCCGTCGTTCACCACATTCAGACGAGAGGTCCACCTGTCCATGTCAACCCCCGCCGACTCCATCCGGATAAGCTACAAATCGCAAAACACGAGTTCGAACACATGCTCGAACTCGGCATCATCCGCCCTTCATCGAGTCATTGGTCATCACCCCTACATATGGTACCTAAGAAATCTAAAGGTGATTGGAGACCCTGTGGAGATTACCGTTCTCTCAACAACGCTACTATCCCAGACAGGTATCCCATCCCACATATCCACGATTTTGCAAGTACCCTATGCCATACAAACATTTTCTCCAAACTCGATCTCATAAGAGCATACTACCACATACCCGTAGCTCCGGATGACATTCCCAAAACAGCCATCACAACACCGTTTGGCCTTTTCGAATTCACGCGTATGCCCTTTGGTCTTCGAAATGCAGCCCAAACGTTTCAACGTTTCATGGACGAGGTTTTACGTGGCTTACCGTTTGTGTACGCCTACCTTGACGATGTTTTAGTCGCTAGCACCTCCCCAGCTGAACATACAGCTCATCTCAGAGCAGTGTTTGAACGTTTTTCCACTTACAACATACGTTTGAACATTGACAAATGCTTATTCGGTGTTACTAGCCTGGATTTTCTTGGCCACCACATTGACGCCACAGGTATTTCACCATTACCCGATCGCATTTTGGCCTTAGAGTCATTTCCCATGCCCACAACTATCACTCAACTTCGTCGTTTCATTGGTATCATCAACTACTACCGGCGATTCATCCCTCACTGTGCAGATATTTTGAAGCCACTGACCGATTTACTTGGCTCCAAAGAGAAATCTGTTACTTTGCACCCCGCCGCCACTGCTGCTTTCGAAAGAGCCAAGCACGCCATTGCTCAGGCCACAAAGTTATCTTTCCTCGATACTCACGAGAGCACAAAGCTGATTTTGACAACTGATGCTTCGAATGCTGCCGTCGGTGCAGTGCTTCATCAAGTTGTTAACAACACACCTCAACCACTAGCGTTTTTCTCGCAGAAGATGCAGGCTGCCCAAACGCGTTACAGTACTTTTGGTCGTGAATTACTCGCAATTTACCTTGCTATTCGCCATTTCCGGCACTTGTTAGAGGGTAGATCGTTTACCATTCAAACCGACCATAAGCCACTCACATACGCCTTCAACGCCAAGCCTGATCGATATTCACCACGCGAGATACGCCATCTGGATTATATTTCACAGTTCACTACCGACATTCGGTACACTCCAGGTTCGGACAATGTCGTCGCAGACGCCTTATCCCGTCCTGACATAAACGCTCTTCACCCTTCCACGCAGTTGGACCTAGCCAAGCTGGCGAACCTTCAAAACACTGATCCTAATTTTTTGCCTATTCTATCGTTCCCTTCATTTCAAGTCTCTTCAACTCCGTTACCCCTCCAATCCGGAGCCATTTTTTGTGATATGTCTACCGGATCAGCTCGCCCAATCGTACCCGAAGCTTTCCGACGCGTTGTTTTCGACCACTTCCATGGATTTTCTCATCCAGGAATCCGAGCAACCAGGAAGTTGATTAGTGCACGTTTTGTATGGCCCTTCATGAATAAGGACCTGACATCCTGGGCCAAACAGTGCATCGCCTGTCAACGCACTAAAGTAACTCGGCATACGAACTCACCTATTGGTTCATTTGCCGTTCCTGATGCTCGGTTCACACACGTCCATCTCGATATTGTTGGTCCTCTTTCCCCATCAAGCGGTTTCACTCATATCCTTACCATGATTGATCGTTTTACCCGTTGGCCAGTAGCTGTACCCATTTCGGATACTTCAGCTGAAACAGTTGCTTTTTCATTTTTGCAACACTGGGTTAGTAATTTTGGTATACCTTCCACCGTTACTACGGATCGCGGCTCACAATTTCAGTGTAATCTCTTCCGTGAGTTTTCTACACTATTCGGTTTCCATCACATATCGACTACCGCGTATCATCCCTGTTCCAACGGTCTGGTTGAGCGTTTCCATCGCTACCTCAAAGCTGCATTGACTGCCCAAATGAACCCATCTTCATGGTCCTCTTCTTTACCCCTCATTTTGCTTGCTATTCGCTCCACTATTAAGGAGGATCTTCACTGTTCCCCAGCCGAACTAGTATACGGTACAACTCTACGTCTACCCGGTGAACTAGTTTCCCCTTCTGGCGCACAGCCCGAATCACCCGTCACATTCGTCAGCCTTCTGAAACAACATATGGCCGAACTTCGTGCGACACCTACCAGACGATCAACGCGAACGGAGCACATCTCAACCGAACTCTCTTCTACACCATTTGTATTTGTCCGACATGACGCAACGAGGAAACCCCTCCAACCTTGTTACGATGGCCCCTTCAAAGTTATCGAACGTCACTCCAAATATTTTGTTTTAGAGAGAAGTGGAAAGCACGACACCGTCTCCATTGATCGTCTGAAACCTGCCTACATTGAAGCACCTACGACCACATCCAGCAATCCTGTTATTCCAACAACACCCACACCTACCCAAGATATCCCTCCCGCCAACCTCACTCCTTCCACTAGTCGTTCAGGACGACGCGTCCGTTTCCCTCAGCACTTAGCTGATTACGAAACTTAAGTTAGCAACTTTTGATTCGTTACTTTAGTTATTCGAGCGTTTTCCCATTTCATGGTCAACGCTCTAGTGGGGGAGTAGTGTGGCGTTTTTGTACCTTTATTTTACTTCCATAATAACACTAGGTATTTCATCAATTGCATAATCGTTTTTTGTTTGAATACGAGAAACTACAAAAAACGCGCCCTTGTACAATTTCACATAATACAAGCGTGGTCACGTGCTTCGACTCTCTCTTCTGATTTCGCTCGCGCTTGCAGCGGTCATTCGCGAGTCTCATATACTAACTCTGGTACCCAAAACATTTCAGACTATCTTCGGAATCTATTATATGTGGAAACTGTTCAGAAGAAGACCTCTGGACCAACACTATTGGATTATTGTTTATTCGCTGACCTGGGCCAACGACGAACTATTTTAAAGAGAACAATTGTTAGTGAGTCTGTTCCATCTGACCTATTTATTTTTGTATACCCAACTTAGCGTAATTATTTTTATTACTTTGCCACACACTCCTGGTAAACTGACTTATTGGGTAGCCAGACCACTACAATAGAAACCCGGATCCGACTTCGCTGTGTCTTCCCGGGGGTATTGGCATTACACATCTCTAGAGGATACCATTTGCGCTCTTCACAGAGACTTGTGTGTTTCGGGTAAGTCAACAAAACAGACCACCGTCCTCGTGAAAATATATGCACTTAATAGCTGTCATAAAGCAAGAAAACACCTATATGATCTTGAAAGGAGACTGAGCAAGGATGTGGTTTTACACGGGCAGTCTGATCAGGTGCACCTCGCATACCTAAAAAAAGGTATACTGGACGAATGACAAATGCTGCTAGATTGTCAATAAATAAGAAGCAATGGTATTGCCTACACCACCCGGTTATTAACCTAAAATAACCAGCAAAGATTTGAGCCGTTTTGGATGGTGCTGCCAAATGTCATGATGTGTCTCTGATTGGTCTCCTGTGTCATGGTCCCCATTTAACAGCAAAATGTGTGAGCATTATGCTCGGCTTTCGCTTAGGGTAGCAGACATGAAGGATACGTTCACGCATGTCAATGTTGACCGCTTTGATAGAAGCGCCGAAATTCCTGGGAGTTGTTTGAACGTACTCGGGGTGCACAACAGGCGCTTATTTCCTAGTTAAATGTCTGTGAACGGTTTTGTATGACATCCACGTGAAAACAGTGAAGAAGTTTGTGGAAAAGATTGTTATTTCACGTGTTTTCTTCTGCTTTGAGAAAACATGAGGGTCGGGTCATTCCTGCGTCCACCTAGGTAAAAGAATTTTAAAGTGCCCCTAGACGCTGTCGCATTTGGCTAGGCTTTCCTTCGGAAAAGGTGATCTGTGGTTTGCTTTTTTACACCGCCTTCGCCAAACTGCGACCAACATCTTTTTGGGGTTTAACAAAGTGCAAGCACAAATTACGCTATTTTCTAGATACTTCTGGAAAATCTGAGTAACACTACTTTCCTCAAAACAGGATGTTTCGCAAGCCAGGAGACCGTTACGAATTTGGAGACCACAAGTCATGTTTCGCTGTGGAGAGACTTGAGAAATGAATCGCTTTATCATGGAATATTTGACTTATCTCTGGTTTTACTCCTTGTTCACGTTATTCGTCAAATAGCTGTATTGCCTAACCACCGCCTGGTTGACAAACTTCAAAAAAGAACCGAATTCCGAATTTACACATTCTTAAACCAAAGGCCCAATACAATCTCCTCAGAATCTCAGCTAAAGCACGTCTTGAAAACGAGAGCCTCAGCTGGAAAATCCGCCCGAAAAAACTTATTTGCTCAGGTTTCAAAATCTGGGAAACCTTTGCGGGCTAGAAGGACAGACAATCGTAACCAGTGGAAACATCATTGATAATACGGGAAACTGTGACGCATATCCTGCCGAAAGTAACTTGTGAAACGGGACAAGTTTCGCAATGGTCGTTCTGCACCGCTGGGTGTGATCTTCTTGAGCCTCATAAGTGAGAAGGGTGACGTTATTGTTAGTAAGTGATGATGCCGCATTCAGGCACTATATTTCTTAATTCGCATGAAATCACAGGGACGTTCCATCGAAATTCCCGGCCTGTCACTAGCGGGCCACTCAGTTGATAACGGGAACTACAGCTGGTCGAAAAAACGCTAATCATTCCTCCTATAGTTTGCGATATTTAAAATACCCAGCAAGGAGAAAAAGAGCGGCTACCTGTAGTCATCCGTATTTAGGAAAGCAGACGATGAAACATCAGAGCTTATAACGCCTTATAAAGGATATCTGCATTAGTTGATTCTCATTTTCTTACACGTTGCTTGCAGTGCCCTTGAGTGGGTGGGTATAAACAGATTGTTGTACCTCTTCAGGCTTTCAACAGAGAAACTTTCCGAAACACTGGCTGCACTGATGTGGCACTGGCATATCTAGCATTCCTGTACACATTGGCATTTGGCAGGTGTAATGAATTAAATTTCCAGAACTATCAAGCGCCTGAAACCACATAGCTCACGATCCCATAGGGGCCTACTGACAAAAGTTAGGGAACAAAATGTCCACTCATGTAGTGCGGATATACAGATCCGACCAGCCAGATACGACTAAAAATGGTCTTGTGCCGCATGCTGTGATTCTACCAAAGTGTATATATTTTACAAACCTCACCTCGATAAAGTCCGTTAGGCGATTTGGAAGGTTATCTAGCCACCTGGCCGAAGGATTAAGTGTTTTTATTACAAACCTTATACGCCTGTCTATACAATGCTGACCGGCGGAAGAAACGTGATCTTTGCTTGTGCAGGCTTCTGAGCGCCACAAAAACTGTGCAATCAAAACCATCTTTACCAGTAGTCCAAGCCCAGATTTTTCAACTCATGCCCGGGGTTCTGGTAGCTTGTACAATCACACCAGAAATTGTGGTCGTTTGATGCGCTGTGTGATCTGTCAGGACAACCACAGCACTGACGTTCAGATATCTGCAGAAGGCAACCAAGCTTTTCCAATATTGCAGAACCTTCCGACCTGTACCTTTCCTGCTGCGCTTTCTGTAGATATCCCGTGCTTTTGGGTCACTGGGTCTCAAGCGTGGTACTTACCCCTTTTCATCCTTTCCGTTTGACAAGCTTTCGCCTACCATGTCGAAATTTGAAATGCAACGTTACCGTGAAAAAATGATGTAAGCAACGTGCTAGCTGGAAAAGAACAGAATAATTGATTTTCAAAAATGCGCAAACAAAGCGAACAAATCTTTTTTCGGTAAGCCAGTATTGGCACATAAATGGTGATGCATTACTGCGGTAAAAAGGAGTAATGAAGCAACACTGTCGGAAGGGAACTTTTAGTCCAACAACATTTGAGCAATTACTGGGTTAGCCTATTTGGGATAAAACAAATTTGATGGAAAGTGTCACAAGTTCACCCGCAGCCGAATGGCTCCTGCCTTTTCCTAGATCTTCCGGCAAGTGAAGAAATCAAGTTTGTAAACGGGTATTTTTTTAAAGAAAGCAAATGATAATATTCGTGCCTTCTTCTGAGTTACTGTCACAAGTTTTCCAGTCAGCAAAAAAGAAATTCCTCTCAAGTTCCATTCTGCATTCAAACGCTTATGATTACATGGAATTTCTCCTGAACTTCATCACATTACTCCAGTGTATTAGCTACACCATATTTACTCAAGACCAAAAAACTGATCATCTTATGAATTTCAGTTTAATCTTCTCGTGCTCTGTGTGCATCAGAGCTGTAGGGCCAAGGACGGTTAGTGTGCCTTTTTGGGTCAACCCTAAGTGGATGCAAATGAAGGCGCAGCATGAATGTATCCGCACGTTAGGTTGCAAACCGGTGATTGCTAGTTGATAGCTAAAAGCTCCTCTTCAAGTGTCGCTATCCCTGGTTTATTTCCTTCATGCACACAAGGAGATATATACGCCCGATGCGTTTAGTGGAAGATATTACGTCCTCAAATACTCTCTTGTGGTTAGCAGATCTTCTTTAAAAGTTGGGTAATCGAAAAAAACAGTCTTATTAAACTAAAACCCCTTGAAAAGATTAGAGGATTTATCTGTTCCCTTGTGGGAGTGTTCACGTGCACTAGTAGAGCGTGGACTAATTACACGGTCTTGCACTGCTTCACTGGTGATTACTGTTAGTTATAAATTACACCCCGTGACCCTTATCACCACTTTACTTTGTTTCTCAAATCTTAGCATGCTTTACCGAAAGTGAAGTGACGTAAAGTGCAATGTTCTGAGAACAAATTAATCAGCAATTTTCATTCATTCGATGGTCCGGTAGTCCATCGTGGTCTCTGAATGGCATTCTAAGATATAAGTTGATGATCTAAACGACTTGCAGCCATAATTCCGTGCCTTGCATGCCTGCAGCTTCCATGTGTATCCCACATGATTAATTAATGGGAATTACTGAAAAACCCTTACCGTAGTTAATGAGGAACGCAAAACCTCCATTCATCTTGGTTACAGTTGCAGTACATTGAACAGGGTGCATGTTGCATCAGACCAAACTTCTGTATGCCTATCACGGCAAAAAGAGTGTTCTTCCGGAATTGCTCACTTGCATGATTCGAGCCATCCACCAGCATTCCAGAGAACCGACTGAGAGAAGAGGAGCCACAACATCTCAAACCCGCGATCAAACACCCGCATGCTTCTCGAACGACTTCTAAAATACTTGCTTTTCATTGACCCCAAGAAAGCAGGACACTTTGTGCGTAGCCTTCTTTGGGTGGTCAAAGCTTCGAGAATGAATTATAAGATCGTGAAACTAGACGAACCCTGCTCGAATGTCCTGGGACATGTACGAAAAACTGAAGAATCACTTGAAACTGACATAAGATATTATCGCATACTTCACCGCCACATATGTCCAGATAGGATCCAGGATACTCCTCTTCAGGTACAAGGAAAGCCAACTCTGTCTATAGGTTGAATAGAGCTTTTGGATAATTAGCAGCATTTATAGTGGTACCTATGAAACTAATTTATGGATCAAGAGGTAAACACAATCCAGGGAGTCGCAAGTTAGCTTCTTCAGTACGCGAGTTTGGAGGAATGAGAGGTGGTCTCAAAACATGCTATCAAACAACACAAAGCAGAGTTAGGCGTAGGTGTCTGAGCGACAGTGTCAAGCAAAACTAAACACAGCCAGTAAATGCAATGAAGGGTGTGAATTTCGTCTTCTTTGTCAAATTCCTAGCACGAAAATTCTGTGGAAAGAACAAGTCAATGCCAACATTGAGCACTCCAATGGAATGCACACTATCAGTGAGAATACTCATGTATAGGTCCCGAGTCACAAAAATATCCTTAATTTTGATGTCTTTTGCATGCCTGTGATTTAAAAGTTTGGGAACAAAGGATAAAAATAAGTTCAATAAACGCCTGGAGCGGTCCCCCGCTTGATGTTTACTATCACTCGTGAGACGTGCGGCGCCTCGCAGCCCGTCACCCCAGTAAGCGGAAGCTTTTGTTCTCAAGGGATACGTTCCTCGGAGGTTTTAGTGGCGTTAGCATTAGCACACGTTGATTACTGAATTAAAACAATGACGAGGGTGACACAAAAATAGCTGTTGATTAAGCTGGACCAATTTTCGGATAGAGCCTGTACTTTCCTTCTCAGAAATCTAGGATTTTCCTACTGCTGTAAAATCATTGGAACTAATCAGGTCATTGGCCTGGAAGATGTACCGTAATATGAAAGGATGCACAAAATAAAGCTGCGCATAGGAAGTCACACTTGTGGTGAGTTCATCCTGTCAGTGAAGGCAATCTATGCTGAAAAGCCGAGAAGCACTGTACAGCTGTTTCATCCTTATTGGGAATCATCAGCAGGGCGCATCTCACGAAACTCCGAAGAGTCTCGAACCCGCGACCTCCCGGCTAGTAGTTTGAACACTTAACCGTTCGGCCACGAGTGACTGATCAGCAGTGTGATTACCTCGCACTTAGACAGGATATAGCGCCGCTCATCCTTCAATAACGGGATCCACATCATGTGGTCACACATGTTGACTGGTTCCTCGAGCAACGACTTCTCAGATAGAAATCAGATACAAATCACCACAAAAATCCCAAATCTCCTCACTACCAACAAGATATAAGTAGCTCAGTGGAAGAATAAACTTTACCCGATGAGTGAAACTTCTATCTGAGAAGTCGTTGCTCGAGGAGCCAGTCAACACGTGTGACCGCGTGATGTGGATCCCGTGATTGAAGGATGAGCGGCGCTATATCCTGTCTAAGTGCGAGTTAATCACACTGCTGATCAGCCACTCGTGGCCGAACGGTCGTGTTCACACTACTAGCCGGGAGGTCGCGGGTTCCAGACTCTTCGGAGTTTCGTGAGATGCGCACTGCTGATCATTCCCAATAAGGATGAAACAGCTGTACAGTGCTTCTCGACTTTTCAGCATAGATTGGCTTCACATACAGGACGAAATCCCACACAAAATATCCCAAATCTCCTCACAATACCCACCCAAGTCACACTTGTCTTGCTTGGCACACTTGACAAATAATTTAAGGCTTATTTCTCCAGCTAATGCATCCGAACCCTACCCGGAGATGTTCAAGTCCGATGGACTGCGTCCGAATCCACTGATCACTGTCAATGGGAGCAGTTGTCGAGTAAGATAGCAGATGAGATTGTGGACGCGAGCAGAGGTCTACAGTCCAGGATCGCGGTTGGTCAGTAATTACCGGCCCGGTGGGGCGTGGGTGCCAGTTTTTCTGCATGGCTAGTGTAACTTCCGGGAGGCTTTTGTTTTGTGTGAATTGGCTTCAAGATGGTCGAACGAAAAATAAAACAGCCTTTGCGGAACATAAGGTTCTGTCTCTCGTTGTGTGCCTGATCGAATCAGAGCGAGTCAAATAGTGGTATCTATAATGATAATAGGAACGGGAGTCCGTGTTATCGGGGCGGGCTACTACTGAGCTAATCGGGCTTGTCAAGTTTCCCAGGGGTGTCACGAGGTTAGGACTAGGTTGTCTTTCAACTTCCGGGGATCTGGCGGATTCTCATTGAAATTATGAGCCGGTGGCACAGTCACTAATTTCCCCAAGTGTGATAGGCTAACACCAGGAACAGGTTACAACCCAATATGACATTCTGCCTCGACCTCGTATCTCCTTAGGTGAAGGAGGGAGATGCTCTTCTCAGCTGAGAAGTAAGCACGCAACACCAATTCACACGTTCTGGCTAGGTCAATGCAAAAACTCAGCATGAATGCGGCTACCTAGACATTGTGGTACCCACCGATACAAAAATAGCAGCGCAACACCTCCAGATTCCACCTGGGCCCTCACTGCGGACCATTATTATCGGAGCAAGGTGACCTCCTGCACTAGGCGGATCAATGCGAACAACTGAGGAGACCTGAAGCGGACAGCACGAGCGTTTGGCGACTGCCGGCGGATGTCTGAGGGGTGAATCTCGACTCTGTTGCCAGATGTGGATGAAGAATCACTGGAGGCAACCCGGTCACATTGTGGCACCTGATGAATGATTTCAGGTAAAAGATTCCGATCCCAATTTTCGTGAAGGCGCGATTAATCCAATTCACTCTGGGCTGGCAAATCTGTACTATCAGCAAGCCGAAAGTCATCCACTTCATTGTCTATCACTGACAGCGTTCAGCTACCAGCAGATCACAGATGTAAAACAACCCACCACTTGTTGAGGACATTAAATTTTGGTGAGTCTGGTGAGATCGAGAAAACTCATAATTGCACCCAATCTGCAGAAGATTCCGTCCTCATATTTTGTCACCACAGTTTAGCTGGCTCTAAGAATACCAGGGAGCGTTTTCACCATGCATTTATGCTAAGCAAGTGATTTGAGGTTCAAACAATAAAATTCAAGATTGATTTTGTTTCATAGGCTTACAGTTACGTACCATATATCATCCAAATTGAGAATTTATCGAAAAAATGGATAAGAAAATGCTTGTAAGTTGCGTATACAGACCTCCAAACAATGCACAGAACACAAATAAGCGTGCTAGAAACAACACAAGGCTTCGGCACGGGCGGTGTTAGCTTAATATTAGTGTCCGGCTGAACTCTGCCAGTCAGAGGCATCACGCCCTAACAAAGGCCTTTTCTCTCGATTCGCAAAACATTGCGGGACAGCAAGATTGCCCTACAAGTAACAGGGACTATACCATTGTACTGGCGCCATGGGTGAACTAGACACTTTCCGGGGACCCATTGACTTTGAGCAACACTCAAATTGTCCCACGACTGAGGATGAGCGAAAATGCAGTCTTGAGACTTATATTTGCGTTTGTCCTCAGTTGTGTTTGCGCACATTGTCATTTATTCCGAAGCATTTCAAGATTAGATACCAATAGATGATGCAGCACACTTCACGGTAAAACGCGAGTGGTATTGAGGTCCTGAAGGACGTAAATATGGTTGGGCTTAGCCTGAAAACAAACTAGCCGATGGTGACTTGAGGCTCCCGATACGGAATATTGAGTGTCACGTAATTTCGACAATCCTGAATGTCGAAATTCTACGGTACTATTTACACAAGGGTAAGCAAATGCGTAGAACAAACCTCACCTGTTCAACTTCGTGGCGTCAAAAACTGCACAGGTCTGTCACTAACCGATACAATGCAGTGTCAACGTCTGCACTCCAAGCAACAGCGAGCGAATGATGGCTTAGTGGTGCGGCATATAGGCGGAGTAAGCGAACAAGGGAATTACCATGAGGTCACGTTAGAGCCAACATTGACAAAGTTGACACCTGAGATGAGGCAGGAGGTGAAAGGTAACTTAATATCACAGAGAGAAAATCACGTCAAACTAAAAATTCGCGGGAATGTGTTGCGCTTTACACAGTTCTAATGAGTGCTTCCTAACTTAAGAAATCTGACCACTACAACCATAATAGACTAAATAAGCAACCCAAGCCAAAATAATTTCAGTTACTTCAAGTGACATATAACCAAGCTTCCACTGATTCATTCGATCGGAAACGCCGATACCTTTCTATCTATCCGGTTCCTGCATGATGAAATGCTAATGGAATTGAAGGATCTTGGCAGAAAACATTCACTTCATAATCTGGCAACCTGACACAAACATCGAAGTGCCTGGTGGAAATGGTGGAAACGATATAGAAATGCACGCACGTGATAAAAATCAAGCTTCCAGCGGCGTGCTAATTAAGATATCGATAAAAGTCGCGGAAGTCCTGACAGAATCCTCTTTCGAAATCTACTGACCGTGGCAAAACCGGACAATCCTCTTTGACCGAGAACGCTCTCGCAGATTGGCTGGAGAGAGAGCTATGGGCTGTTAACTGTGCGCTTCAGGAAGATCCGTGACATATACCAAATAAATTGTTCTTGACTGAGCACCAGCATGATCCTGCCTAAGTGTTTCAAAAGTTGATATACTGAGAATGGCTTTATAGCTTGGGTCAAGGTGGTCATGTCCAACCCAGGCTCCACCCCAAGGTTCGTTCCACGCAGCACGTCCAACACTCGGATCGGTCCATATAATGCACTCATTATGGAATTTTCCACAGCGCTAATAATGATCACATGTAGAAAATGCAAAGCCCTAACTTCCTATCACAGACCAAGATGCTACAATCCCACATACTTACGTTGGCAAAAAACAGCAACGGAGTGATGGTGAGGGCGCTAGAACCCAACTATTCTTCCAGATTCGACGCAGTGCTAACAATCTGTTAAAAAACCCGACACACTGACCAGCGCAAGCTATCTCCAGGATGAATAGGCAGGCTGACAACCCATCCGGATCCTGAATGTGAATCACATAAAAGCTGCAGCCCGACCGGATCCACAAAAATCCATGAAAATTGGACGCTGATAGTGAAAGATCACTTTGTTTGGTTGGATACCTTTGATACTTGCGAAGGCCTGAACCTGACCTTGAGAAGCCGTGGCTGGCAGCACTAATTCGCTCCAGGCTATCTGGTTCAAGGATGGTCCGATGAGTTTACTAACATAATGCTCTCGGAATTGTGGATAACAGTTGTTGTATGCGGTATGCATTCTCCTTCAAGTTTGAAAACATTTTTACTGTAGCTCAAGTATTGTGGGCGGAAGTGATATCGTCCGTGGGTATTTGGCCAAAGTCTGTCTTTCCTGTCGAACTTGGGGAGAGCGTTACTTGGCTGTTCACGCCTAAAGGGGGATCGGAATACGACACTGACTCTATGATTAGTTTTGAGATTGAAGGAGCCGGAGTTTACCGCATTCAGAAAACGAGATGCGCCGGTCCATTTGAAAAGTATTTCACCTGTACACACAAACCACAGAATGAGGTATCCGTATCATTTACACCAACTGAGGAGATGTATGGGAAAGAGGTCACCATCACATACTACAAGGATACAGAATCTTTATGGGCCAGAACAGCGCCCCCTTTGCTGCGTGAATTGATTCAGGTGAGTCCTCTACTTGAACCGCTTAGAAAAATGACTGGACAATTCTGAATCAAAACAGTGGGATGTAATATGGTCTATCGAATATGCAGGAAGACTCAGGGTTTGGCTTTATATGAAAATGTTCATTGCGGTTTTCGATCAGTATTTTCACCCAGTGGGAAATACATGAGCAACATTTGTTCTGTATGGCAAAGCAGGCACAACTTCTGAGGCTTACCGTTCGGGGCTGATCAAAAGATTCGCATAAGAGTGCACGCTTCTGGCCTGTCGCAGAGTGACCATCGGAGACTGGGTCCACTGATGCTTCACTGGCGTACAACCAGGGACAGCCGTAATCATCACTTCCCGTCGTCCCGTAGTAACCTGAGATGTGCATATAATCCTCTGGATTAAACGTAAGAGGGGCAAACCTTCGAAACTGGATGAAAGTCGCGGAAAATAATTTGATGCCCCAAAACAGTTATTTTTTCATTAGTTTCAACCATCAGTGGTTTACTTATGGTTGATGTCCTTACCGCGGCACGCTCACTTGCGTTTAACGAATTGGAAATTTGCTTCACTGAAGTTTATTTAAGAGCGAATTTGCTCAGATAAACCACAGTGAACCTGTAATCCAATTTCCTAGACGCCAGTAACGATGGCATACAAACGGTGCCACTTGGGAAACAACCCGAGTACTGAATGGTAGTTCGAAACAATCTGAAAGTGTTTTTGCGGGCACACTTAGTGATTAAAGTAGGTCACCCACAGTCTTCTGGCAACTGACAACTTATCTCCGTGAAAACTAAAGACCGCAAACTAACTTACTGGCTTGCCTCTAGCGGATCGGCGTTCGGTTTGAATTTTCGTCGGATATTCGCCTACTCGGAAACTTATGGAGGTGTTCTTCATGAAATGTAATGATTTGCACTCATCAAATCTCCGAACAGCGCTGTGTTGGGGGAACTTGCTGGTGTACGAGTCCTGGAAGCCGCGTCACCTTCCACTAGCTGTGGGTACAGAGTGCGTGTGACTTCTGCGGGCCTATTATAGCTGGACGCAAACTTAGTGCTGTTATGCGAAAAAAAACCTTCAATTCCCGATGTCCTACCATAGAAAGAACCTCAGATTAATACAAGGGCACTTCTGGTTGGTAATATCGTCCGGGAAGCCTCCGATGTATAATCTCATGCTAGCTTGGCCGATGTGAAAGCTTCGTAGTGTCCAGCTTCACCATTGATGAAATAATGATGGAGGAATATCTTTCGAATCCCGTTGTTCAAGTTGTTGCTGATGAAGACCTTGCTGATCTGGAATGTGCCGAGGTCTCCCTCATCCCAGAAGAAGAAAGCGAAGTACAAGGTCTGTCGGATATGCGTATCAGTATCGTCCCATCTTTCGACACGAGTCTTACATTTTCAGAGTGCAAGGTCATGTTTCAGGGTGTGGACTGAGACATCCTCAGGTCTTCGTTGACCGTTGTCTCTTAACCATAACTCGTATAGACTGGTACCGGCGAACCCACTACGAGACGATTAAAAAACGAGTGTTTGGTTGTGCAGCAGAGGCTTCAACCGGAACTGTGGTGGTCCGCCATGTGTTGCTCATGTCAAATCATTTTTCTGTTCTTCGTGTACAGTTCAGAGTGACGCAAGTAGAAAAATGACCAACACCCGTCCTGCTTGAGGGTCTGAAAGTGGCTATGAAAAGTCTAGATACAGTTGATGCGACTCACCTTATAGGATGAGGTCTGTATGCTCAACATGTGCGTGTTCAGAGACGCTAGAAGATACGACTACTAGTTGATGTCACTGGGATGGTTGTTGTGGTTGTCAGCTCCTATTAAGATCGTCTGAACGAGCCTTTGGAGGAACACACCACAGAATGATTGTAACCGCGTGGCGCTAAGTCTCTCTCCTAATCACTTATTATTTTCGACACCATAAGGCTTCCATTATATGGTTGTACTGCAGCAAAGCATCAATGTTGGTTGTAGTTTGTTGACCATGGTGATGATAACGCCGTCCAGAAGTCGATGAGGCAGGTAGCAGTTAGCTTTTGGAACACGATGTGGACTTAATGGCTTGTCAGTGCAGCCTTTTTTTAGCGGAAATTGGTGTCTTTCGCTAGGGGAACATTTATAAGGCGGATGGCAAATATTTTCAAAACTACATTCGATAGGATTATCCTAAAATTCTTGTTATAAACAGGCTTTTCGCTTCTTTCGTGCAAATGTAGAACAGAGATGAAGCAGTTGGATAGAAACATTACCCAGACTGAACAGGGTAACTCACTGAAGTGGTTGTAAGGCATCCTTGCAGGCATACCACATTCAGCAGGGTTTTTCGTCTTTTTCAGTCAAGCGGTGATTTCGGTTGTATCTTCCGTTGGAGGACCACAGTTGACCTCGCACGACGAAGTGAGGAACTCAATGCTGGGCGGATGCCCATGCTGACACGTGCGTTCGATGAACTGTTCGATAAAGTGTTCTACCCATCGGAAATGTTTCCTGCCGGCATCAGAGCGAAATGGCTCTGGTTCGAACCCGACCTCCGCCTCTCGATTTCCCCTGTGTAAGCTTGGGAAACCTGGCAGTATCCCAGCCTTCGTGCTTCCTTCGGGTGCCATGGCAGCTAGGCACTAAAGGGTGTTGCAACTGAATGATTCGAACGATGTTCTGCAGGCTCTTCGACCACCTGCAAACAGGATCACGTGGATATCACTTACTTTGCGTACCCGTTGTAACCAGCTGTGCTAAGGAGACTCCGGCGATCAAAAGCGTTTGGACGCCTAGGGGCCTTGGATCAGAGAGCTTAAGTCTCATAATCATAATGCAAGACCGCTTCTGCGGTTGCCTTGCACACATGGCATCAGCAACATTCTGTTCTGATGCCCCAAATGACGCAAGTTGGCGCATGAAGAGACGACCTTACCGTTGCGTGACGGTTTGCCCACTTACATAATCCATTGAGCTATACTTCGAAGTGTACGTACGACACTCACAGAGCATCTCATACCAGATTTGTCGATGGGTAGAGGTCTGAATAACATGGTTTCCTGGTCCTCCAGGTTGGCAGTTGGAACATATGTGGCGACTTGCTCCTCAAAAATGTAGGCTGCTCTGACGGCCTTACGCCAACCACCGGTTCCTTGCGGTATGGCTTTTGAGGGCACTAATCGTCCTCCTGTCTGGGTGCCGTATCCCTGGTGCGGTATCTCAACCCATGTAACAACACGTCACGTGGTACCACCAACATGGTCGCCTTACTTGTCCCGTGCAACGTGGTGTGTGGACGGAAACAGGCTACCGCTGGCGCCTCCTTTCTTCACATTCGTTCTTCCACTCTTCACTTCGTTGCTACGGTATTCCCGAAGGCCCACTTACCATGACTGACGTCCGTTCACTGGTCATTACCGTTGGCGGCCACCATGGCCACTCCCTAAATCCCAGACGCTCATTTCATCTGGCAGCACTTAATGTTTGCATTTCCAAACAAGCCGGACAACTTACTACTCTTGCGTACCCTTTGGACCAGTCTTCTACTGATTTATACTTTCTCAAACGGGGATTCCAAACCCGGGACTCGAATCGGGACGAACGCAAAACAACGAACGGCTGCTGCATTTGTGTGCTGACTACAGACTTTCTGTGCAGTATCAGACAGCCGCTTGGTCACATTGTTGCCCCGCAAGTGAGCCAACTCCAAACACAGACCATATCGCCATTGGCTGCGTATGAGGTGGGTCATTCACTGACTCGCTCGTTCTGGAACGCCTCCGTGGATTGAGATCATGGGCTTTTTGTTGCTGCTTCTGGTTGTACTTCTCAGCGTGGCGCAATATTCACCCACTTGTCCTGACCGTTGGGGAGCTTTCGGACCTTGAGGTGACACAAGTCTACCAAAACCACCCACTGAACTCCATTTCGGATAATACGTTTTCTGATGTTGAGTCTTACGGGAGGACACTATCCGCAACCCTGCGAAATGCTGGCCGTACTGCTTGTGGAAAGATGCATCCAATCAAATCTAAGCACTATACCTCCAGCATCTTTAAGGTTGCCCGCATATCGGACTGTCAGGCACTACTGCAGTGTCTGTGGAGCAAAGGTGTCCCCATTAATTCTCAACCCTCCTTAAGGCGCTGTGCGCCAACTCCCGCGGCAGTGTGAAGGTCTACGGGAAGCTTTAGTCTGAGTTCACCACATAAAGTGGTATCCGATAGGGCTGTCCTCTTCTACCTTTCCTCTTCAACTTCATCATTGATGCGGTCGTGGAAGACTCACTACCAGCCTCTAATGTCTGTGGGGTCGAAGTGTTTCTGGGGCGTCCGCTCACAGACATCGAGTACGCAGACGACATAACTCTTCTGGGATCTGACCCCGTGGTAATGCAAACAATGTCAGTTATTTTAAATAATTCTACCTCACGATTCGGCATGCGCTTCACACCTGCAAAGTGTAAAGTGCTACTGCAAGACTGGGTGAACTCGAACCCTAGCCTCATGCTTGCGGATGAACCGATTGAGGTAGTAGACAAATTTGTTTACGTGGGCAGCTGTATCAGTCCCGGTGGTCTCACGAAAGATGATATTTCCATCCATATTGGGGAGGCCAGGGCAGCTTTTGTGAAACTGCGTCACCTGTGACGTAGGCGTGACACCAGCTTCTCTGTCAAGGGTCGAGTTTACAATGCTGCGGTGCGCTCCATATTACTGTACGGATCAGAAACCTGGCCGCTGCGCATTGAGGACGTCAACAGACTTTCAGTGTTTGACCATCGATGTCTTCGGAGTATTGCCGAGTCTGGTGGGAACACCGAATCAGCAATTCTGAAGTACATCGAATGGTATTCGGAGGAACTGATCACACTGCATCGGTCGCGCTGGCTTGGCCACGTGTTGCGTATGGCAGTCGACCGACTTCATCGAAGGCTGTTTTCGCACAACCACGTGAAGGGTGGAAGAGAGCCAGAGACGGTCGAACAATGACTTGGCAGCGAAGTATGAAAGCCATTACTAGCAAACTCAGCTGCGCTGGTCATTGCCGTATCCCTGGATGGGGACCCTGAGATGGGCCATATCATTGATTAGGGACATTGTCAGATCCAGTCGCGCCCTCAATGGCGCCCTTGCATCCAAGCCATTGCCTTCAATACATAGCTCCCTTCCCAATCCCCTCAATTAATGGTCAACTGACAGTGCTGTATTTACGCACTAATATATCAGCTCCCGCCTCCAACGCGCAGCTCACTACCCCACCTCCCCGAATCATCGGTGAACAAAACTGTAGCAGCTACAACCACTGTACGACAAGTGTGCTGTTATTACAGCTGACATGATGATGACATGTATTCCTCCTGGTCGAGAATACAATACCACTCGACGAACTCAGATTTTTGGTGAAGAGCATCTACGCTGATTAGGAAGTGTGGTGGATCCAGAAAGCTGGAGAAATGAAAGAGGCGAGAAACTAGAAGTTTGCACAAACTGCTCCAGCTGATGTGCTCAACAGGTCCAAAAAAGAAGAGCGCCTTAATCTTTGAGTTGAACACTTCGAAGAACAATTCAACTTGCAACCTGCAGTTTTTCAGCGCGGCTTCCGACCCTTAACACACCCCCGAACGATGAGTTTGGAACCCATGACGGCTTTGAAAATAAGTAAATGCCTTTTGTCCCTCAAGTGCCGCCGAGCTGTTGCTGCTGACTAACTACCACCAGCTCTGTTCAAAGATGGATGTGGAATTCGCAGCTGGTAATTGCCTAATTGCCTGGCTGGCTAACTGGCTAATTGCCATCTGAGTGTATTTGCCTCTATCTAACCGTCCCAACCAACAAAGATGAGCTAACAGCCGTGGCCATTATGAAAAATGGTGCTGACAATGAGTGTGGTGATCTTAAATGTAATGACGGTATTCCCCTCAGCTTTATTCTCGGTTCGAATCTCCCAACCTAGCGTTTGCTTCAAAACAAGATGCACGGCGTATATTAACGCCAAAAACCAAGTCAAACTTGTACAGCACATCGTATACAAAATGTATGTGACAACATTCTAGAAATTCTTGCGCCTTCTGGATACAACATTGGCAACCGGCATTCGGAGAATACTGGGTCATGGTTGGCTGTTGGGTCCAGACTTTCGAAAAATCAGAGATCGCCGTGATACCGGACCGCCAAGCGTTCAGAATTTTTGGCCAATCTTGCGCGGCATAGGCTTCTCAACCGTAGCAGCGCCTAACTGCGAGCGGTAAAGCGGTATCGTTGTGGAATTCCGCCTAAAAATAAAAGAATTAAGTTAACCCTGGATGTTTCCCTCGTAAGGCATTTATATAACTTGTAAACCCAATATCAGCCACAGAATGTGCGTTGCAAAGTGACATACCGGATCATGAATGCAGGGTTGACGATTTCCAACCTACAGCCTTTCCGAAGATAGCACCACCCAGTCACTGACTGCGTGACTTAAGACTTTTTCTGGTTTTGTGCGCGTTGGTCATACCAGTACTTCTGTTTGGCCACGAAGGCTGTGGAAGACATACAACAGCCACCTGCGTTTCACTGTAACTTTCCACGAAACATTTTACGCTTCTTGTGGCAACATGAGCAGTGCGGGGTAGCGTTTTACCCGCCCAAACTATTTGTGCGACTTGCCTCGGTCGAACTTCCTGCTTGGGCCTTGCTAAGCGACCGCGTGGACCAGCTAGGTACTCTCTGAACTGCGGGAACCGCTGTGGTAGTCAGCCAACAACATATACGGATTGCTTAAAAATAGTGCTTAACCTATCCTCACTTGGGTCGACTAGGCTTATTGGTTTGGGTCTTACACGGCACAGGGTCGAATAATTTGGCGGTGCGATTGTTTTTATTCTCTTGATCTTTTAAATTTTCCCGAGATGGTGGTCAGTGTCTAATCAGATCGAACAATAAAGTAAAATGAAGAAGGATTGATGTCAGGTGTGTTGTTGGCGTGAACTCCTTACAGTAATAGTTCAGTGAAGCAGGGTGTTTTAAGTGTGGTGCCTTTTGGTGTGTAAATCAGCCACTTGGGGAATCCTCGTCGATTGTGTATTGTGAAAGTTGTGGAGAAGAGTGACTTATGTGCTGCGATATCGCTAAGGTTATATCACGGCATGATCCGCCTCATCCTGTGGGACTAACATGACTGGGTGATCGTTGATCATTCGAAACGCATGAACGCAGCAGTTACGCTACGTACTTGGTTGGTAAGTGATGCCAGGTTTATCCTGATCGTAGTTCGGCAGGATAAACAGGCTAGTGATACTATCTTCGCCTGCTTTCGACATTTGTTCGTGTTTTGAGCTCCCAGTGGTTCCTAATGTCGATAATGGAACATGCGCAATCTAAGATTGCTGCGTCAGCAGCTTATATACTACTCTAGAGTATATGGCACTCATTCCTCCAACTTCATTTGGGCTGTGCAACGACCATGTATTAAAGGAGTACACTAGCTAAACAGACTAACTTTCCGGTTGAAAAAAATTATGAATGTCTAATAGAGCGAACTTTTGGGTGTACACCCAGTTTTATGTATGACCGCGGACTCAGTAGTGAACGTGGGCACAGCGGCATTTTAGCGGGCACGTCTGGTGAGGGAGACATAGTTTCCTTTTTGTCTGAGCAAACGTTATAGGTACTGATTTTAATCGTGCACATCATTTTTGTTTTGCCTTTTTTTGTCTAGCTTACCAAACAACCAACGTATGTTGAAATGGAGATGGACCTAAAGGAAGCCTCGCGTCACACACTTTACGTACCGACTGGGTTGCGTTTGGACCCACCGATCTTTCTTACGGGGTCACATGTGCGCATCGACTGTTCGAGTGATGGTTCATTGCCTCCTGTACCGATAAGCTTTAGCATCGAATGCCCACCGCCTCCAACGGCAGTGGTGGAACATGATCGAGTCACTCAGGCAAAACAAAGTTTATCCTACGAGCAGTTCTACCGCACTTACGGGTTCCGATCGCCTCCGACCCTGGCTGATTTGGCACCTTACGTGGCGCGAAAGCATGCTAGTCAACTTCTTCGCCTTGGCCACGTGGCCATAGGCAAGGACAACAAGACTCTGCGGGCCACATTGTCAATAACAGAGAAAGCCCACGATTGTCATGTGGTCTGCCGTCTTGCTGGAAAAGAGACACGTCGACGATTGACAGTCTATTGTGAGTTGATTATTCAGTCTTTTATTTCGTTTGCAACTGAACCCCATGACCGCAGTTTCCTTCCATGCTCGCATGGCGTCGTACTTGTACAAGTGCTTGTACAAGTTAGAGAAAATCGGTCATCAAAATTAACAGAATACCTGTTAGAAACGTGGCCATTTCAGAGCTGTCACCAAATAAACGGGACACTGTCAATAATATGGAAAGGCCTTTGTGTTTGCATACTTCTGGTCTCTGTTTCACGGTGGCTTTATCTTCAGCAAACTGATGTAATCAGCCATCCCATGTGCTGAGCACAATCGTTATCACAGACTCCGTGCCGACAATTACCGTCCCCTAGTAAGTAACAGACAATGGCATCATTATCATCAACATCAGAGACAGTAACATCCGTGTTGACACCGATGTTTTACCGGCGTATAGCAACAAAGTTCATTCAAAGCCATAGAGTGAAAAGAAGGGAAATGGGTGAGTGAGGGGACCTGGTAATGGCCTATTGCAAGCATTCTGAGGTGCCTGCACCTCCAAGCGCTCACTAAGATAATGTGGGAATAAAGGACACCAAGGGGATCATGCCCAGTTCAGAGTGGCGTAAACAGAGAGGCGGCCAACCCTTGACTTGACTTGGCAGAGGAGTATGAAGGAGATCACGAAACGCTTGGGTGCCGTCGGTGCTACTCGCCTTCCAGGATGGAGACCGCGTGATCCTCACTGTGCCTGGTTGGAGACACTACAAGATATGGCTGCCAACCGATGTCAGTGGCGTTCTTGTTGTCAGTTTCTTTCCAGATCACCTGAGTGAGTGTCTGGAGGTATAGGCACCTCGGAATGATAGTGATAAGCTATCACTAAGTTCCTTCCCCGTCCACCTTTACTCTTTTCTTTACAATAAGGCTTTCAAATAACCATGACGGCTTTGAAAATAAGTAAATGCCTTTTGTCCCTCAAGTGCCGCCGAGCTGTTGCTGCTGACTAACTACCACCAGCTCTGTTCAAAGATGGATGTGGAATTCGCAGCTGGTAATTGCCTAATTGCCTGGCTGGCTAACTGGCTAATTGCCATCTGAGTGTATTTGCCTCTATCTAACCGTCCCAACCAACAAAGATGAGCTAACAGCCGTGGCCATTATGAAAAATGGTGCTGACAATGAGTGTGGTGATCTTAAATGTAATGACGGTATTCCCCTCAGCTTTATTCTCGGTTCGAATCTCCCAACCTAGCGTTTGCTTCAAAACAAGATGCACGGCGTATATTAACGCCAAAAACCAAGTCAAACTTGTACAGCACATCGTATACAAAATGTATGTGACAACATTCTAGAAATTCTTGCGCCTTCTGGATACAACATTGGCAACCGGCATTCGGAGAATACTGGGTCATGGTTGGCTGTTGGGTCCAGACTTTCGAAAAATCAGAGATCGCCGTGATACCGGACCGCCAAGCGTTCAGAATTTTTGGCCAATCTTGCGCGGCATAGGCTTCTCAACCGTAGCAGCGCCTAACTGCGAGCGGTAAAGCGGTATCGTTGTGGAATTCCGCCTAAAAATAAAAGAATTAAGTTAACCCTGGATGTTTCCCTCGTAAGGCATTTATATAACTTGTAAACCCAATATCAGCCACAGAATGTGCGTTGCAAAGTGACATACCGGATCATGAATGCAGGGTTGACGATTTCCAACCTACAGCCTTTCCGAAGATAGCACCACCCAGTCACTGACTGCGTGACTTAAGACTTTTTCTGGTTTTGTGCGCGTTGGTCATACCAGTACTTCTGTTTGGCCACGAAGGCTGTGGAAGACATACAACAGCCACCTGCGTTTCACTGTAACTTTCCACGAAACATTTTACGCTTCTTGTGGCAACATGAGCAGTGCGGGGTAGCGTTTTACCCGCCCAAACTATTTGTGCGACTTGCCTCGGTCGAACTTCCTGCTTGGGCCTTGCTAAGCGACCGCGTGGACCAGCTAGGTACTCTCTGAACTGCGGGAACCGCTGTGGTAGTCAGCCAACAACATATACGGATTGCTTAAAAATAGTGCTTAACCTATCCTCACTTGGGTCGACTAGGCTTATTGGTTTGGGTCTTACACGGCACAGGGTCGAATAATTTGGCGGTGCGATTGTTTTTATTCTCTTGATCTTTTAAATTTTCCCGAGATGGTGGTCAGTGTCTAATCAGATCGAACAATAAAGTAAAATGAAGAAGGATTGATGTCAGGTGTGTTGTTGGCGTGAACTCCTTACAGTAATAGTTCAGTGAAGCAGGGTGTTTTAAGTGTGGTGCCTTTTGGTGTGTAAATCAGCCACTTGGGGAATCCTCGTCGATTGTGTATTGTGAAAGTTGTGGAGAAGAGTGACTTATGTGCTGCGATATCGCTAAGGTTATATCACGGCATGATCCGCCTCATCCTGTGGGACTAACATGACTGGGTGATCGTTGATCATTCGAAACGCATGAACGCAGCAGTTACGCTACGTACTTGGTTGGTAAGTGATGCCAGGTTTATCCTGATCGTAGTTCGGCAGGATAAACAGGCTAGTGATACTATCTTCGCCTGCTTTCGACATTTGTTCGTGTTTTGAGCTCCCAGTGGTTCCTAATGTCGATAATGGAACATGCGCAATCTAAGATTGCTGCGTCAGCAGCTTATATACTACTCTAGAGTATATGGCACTCATTCCTCCAACTTCATTTGGGCTGTGCAACGACCATGTATTAAAGGAGTACACTAGCTAAACAGACTAACTTTCCGGTTGAAAAAAATTATGAATGTCTAATAGAGCGAACTTTTGGGTGTACACCCAGTTTTATGTATGACCGCGGACTCAGTAGTGAACGTGGGCACAGCGGCATTTTAGCGGGCACGTCTGGTGAGGGAGACATAGTTTCCTTTTTGTCTGAGCAAACGTTATAGGTACTGATTTTAATCGTGCACATCATTTTTGTTTTGCCTTTTTTTGTCTAGCTTACCAAACAACCAACGTATGTTGAAATGGAGATGGACCTAAAGGAAGCCTCGCGTCACACACTTTACGTACCGACTGGGTTGCGTTTGGACCCACCGATCTTTCTTACGGGGTCACATGTGCGCATCGACTGTTCGAGTGATGGTTCATTGCCTCCTGTACCGATAAGCTTTAGCATCGAATGCCCACCGCCTCCAACGGCAGTGGTGGAACATGATCGAGTCACTCAGGCAAAACAAAGTTTATCCTACGAGCAGTTCTACCGCACTTACGGGTTCCGATCGCCTCCGACCCTGGCTGATTTGGCACCTTACGTGGCGCGAAAGCATGCTAGTCAACTTCTTCGCCTTGGCCACGTGGCCATAGGCAAGGACAACAAGACTCTGCGGGCCACATTGTCAATAACAGAGAAAGCCCACGATTGTCATGTGGTCTGCCGTCTTGCTGGAAAAGAGACACGTCGACGATTGACAGTCTATTGTGAGTTGATTATTCAGTCTTTTATTTCGTTTGCAACTGAACCCCATGACCGCAGTTTCCTTCCATGCTCGCATGGCGTCGTACTTGTACAAGTGCTTGTACAAGTTAGAGAAAATCGGTCATCAAAATTAACAGAATACCTGTTAGAAACGTGGCCATTTCAGAGCTGTCACCAAATAAACGGGACACTGTCAATAATATGGAAAGGCCTTTGTGTTTGCATACTTCTGGTCTCTGTTTCACGGTGGCTTTATCTTCAGCAAACTGATGTAATCAGCCATCCCATGTGCTGAGCACAATCGTTATCACAGACTCCGTGCCGACAATTACCGTCCCCTAGTAAGTAACAGACAATGGCATCATTATCATCAACATCAGAGACAGTAACATCCGTGTTGACACCGATGTTTTACCGGCGTATAGCAACAAAGTTCATTCAAAGCCATAGAGTGAAAAGAAGGGAAATGGGTGAGTGAGGGGACCTGGTAATGGCCTATTGCAAGCATTCTGAGGTGCCTGCACCTCCAAGCGCTCACTAAGATAATGTGGGAATAAAGGACACCAAGGGGATCATGCCCAGTTCAGAGTGGCGTAAACAGAGAGGCGGCCAACCCTTGACTTGACTTGGCAGAGGAGTATGAAGGAGATCACGAAACGCTTGGGTGCCGTCGGTGCTACTCGCCTTCCAGGATGGAGACCGCGTGATCCTCACTGTGCCTGGTTGGAGACACTACAAGATATGGCTGCCAACCGATGTCAGTGGCGTTCTTGTTGTCAGTTTCTTTCCAGATCACCTGAGTGAGTGTCTGGAGGTATAGGCACCTCGGAATGATAGTGATAAGCTATCACTAAGTTCCTTCCCCGTCCACCTTTACTCTTTTCTTTACAATAAGGCTTTCAAATAAATCATGGTTGTACGGCAGTGAAGCATCGGTGTTGAACACTGATGTCATGCTGTCAGTGATGATGGTGATGATGATTTTAGAACTGTTCTGTTCGAATAGTTTCTGTTCAGCATCCTAGCAGTCTCCATCATCCTCATAACTGTGCGATTATAGTAGCTTTCTAGCTGAATCAGCTCCTGAGTTACTGAAACTTGCCGAAGTTGACGAGTGGTGCTGATGAGCTGCCGTTTCTTTTAAGGTCTCCAGACAAGTACAGGAGGAGTTGGTCACAGGAAGCCCATCCTAGACGGCGTACTGCACGAACAACACGTAAACTGGTCGTGATTCCTTTCGTACCTTTCTGTCAAGTCACACGTTGTCTACCTCGGGATTTCCGCCAATCTGCGAACAAAAGGGGACAACACTCGGTATCCGTAACATATGGCCGGACCACTGTGGTTGTCTCCTGTGACTGAAGTACTGTTACACAACAGGATACTCGCTTTCAACACATCTGCTGACACAACGCTTCTGGGGCGTCGGTGGTCAAAAACCTAAAGATGCCTCACATCATCTGTCCACAGAAACCATATCTTGCAACCGTACAACAACGTGGTCCTTACTGTAGTCTGGTACAACCCATTAATAGGCCAATACTTGTTTTTCGTCAAAACTAGTACAACTACAACCACCACCACCACCACCACCACAGCCTCCAGTGATTCTCCTTGAATTGTAAGGGATTACGCCAGGAAATGGTAGTGTCGTATTGATTTGGAAACAGCTGTAGAATGTCAAGCTATATAGCGCTTAACCTGTCAATTTGTCTCCGCCACACTGAGCGATGTGGGCGAGATGACTCAGTTGCTAGAGCGCTAATTTACTAACCGGAAGGTTCGTGGTTTGAACCCGACCTCTGACTCTCGATTTCCTCTGTCTAGGCTTGAGCGACCCGGCAGTGTCCCAGCCCTCGCGCTTCCTTCAGGTGGCATGGCAGCCAGGCACCGAATGGGTGCTACAACTGAACGATTTCTTTTCGCTACACGCCTGATGAGCTGTACCGAAGTGGACTTGGACTATGGTGGCAATCAATCAATTGTGGCAGTGTAATTCTCTGTGCTGCATTCAGGTTCATCGCATCATCCATGTTCTCTCATAAACATTCAGTGTGTCTTGGTACAAGGCCTCCAGCAGACCGACCACTCCCGTCTAATAACGAAATCGACTGCTCTGAGGAGGCTAATTGCCATACAGAGTCCCAGTATTTTACCTCGGAATCACTCTGTTGAACATTTGTTTTATTCAGTCGTGGAAAATTTCCGCCTTGAGAACACTAGCAGCTAATTCGGGATTCCAGCCATCTTTCGCAAAAAACGGTGCAAAGTTTGCTTCGAAGTGACTTTAAACTCCTCCACTTTACCATCTTTTGTTATTGTTCATTTTTTCTCAGAGTTGGAACCGTCGAGAACGTATTTGGCCAGTTTTTCTTTACTCGTAGGCGTATCCTAGTTTTTAGCTTCGTCAAAACGTTTTGTTTTAATCTGTCATCAGATCACGGCGAACGAACGGAAGCTAGCATCAGCGAACCATTTGTGATGGCTAAATTTGTCACCAGCCAGCTGGAGGAGGATCGCAATAATGTTACGTTTTTTTTTGGAGAGTAACTTATTGACTTCTGTTTGTTCTCCACTGGCCTTCGTAACTTGTGTATGGCTTTCTAACTGGTGTACTTTCCTTTGGTACGCGCGGGTGTTGGAGCTGTCCCACTGTCCATTCCACCGCGCACGCTGTCGAAACACGTGTCATGACAGCAAGTGGCATGTGAATGAAAGGAAAACAGCAACAAAATAAAGTGAAGGCATAAATCTGGTAGTCGTTGTGGGGAAGTTGATTGTGGTCAAATGCATCTGGTAGTAGGCTTTCATGATTTCAAGGGGCACAAACACTGCATGACTCGTCATGTGTTTTTCCACAGTGAATACAATCCGACTAAGCGAATGACAGCAGCATCTTTCAGCATTGAAAGTACGACCAGATTTGACCGCCCGGTTTTCAATTCCCTAAAAATTTTCGTGACCATGGAATGTTTGTGTAGCGCGTCCGATTGGTATCATTCTTCGTTACGGGGTTCGAAGGAGACTGAAGTGCGTAGTCCTGACATGACTGTGTGATAACCGAGGCGTTGTCAACTATGCAACCATTTACCGCCTCACTTCTGTTTCCCTGTAATTTATGAAATTCAACCGCTTTCATCCCAGAGTTTGAACATTCATTTGGACAAGTGTTTCCGATTCCAAGTCGGTCGTAAAATTCTATCAAAGCACTTTAGGATTCCAATCAAGCTACATCATCGGCAGCATGACATCAGTGTTCAACATCGATGCTTCGCTGCCGTACAACCATGATTTATTTGAAAGCCTTATTGTAAAGAAAAGAGTAAAGGTGGACGGGGAAGGAACTTGGTGATAGCTTATCACTATCATTCCGAGGTGCCTATACCTCCAGACACTCACTCAGGCGATCTGGATAGAAACTGACGACAAGAACGCCACTGACATCGATTGTCAGTCATATCTTGTAGTGTCTCCAACCAGGCACAGTGAGGATCACGCGGTCTCCATCCTGGAAGGCGAGAAACACCGATAGCACCCACGCGTTTTGTGATCTCCATCATACTCCTCTGCTAAGTCAAGTCAAGGGTTGGCCGCCTCTCTGTTTACGCCACTCTGAATCGGTCATGGAAAGCAGCACTCGGCAAACGATGGTTCGGCAATCGCAACAAATGTCCAATCAAGTTAGCTTAAGAATGTTGCTGAGACGTCCCAAGGCGTCTCGCTGTGAGAATGACAGATGCGTAGCACCTATCGGTGGATATATGCACTTCAAAAATATGTCCACAAGCACGTCACAAATTGCATCAGATAGCCTGGGTGCATTGCGATCAATTTCGGGAAGATCATGGGCCGAAACAAATTGATCGAGCAGAACATCTACAGTTTGATGACAAAACGGTGGGGTTTGTTGGGTTTCCTCCTCTTCTTGCATGTGGAGCCGTGTTCATATGCATTCACGATCAGCTCTCTCGAGCGAGATGGCCCAAGTGGTTAGAGCGCGAATTTACTGACCGTAAGGTTCGTGGTTCGAACCCGATCTCTGTCTCTCGACCTCCCCTGCCTAGTCTCGGGCAACCTGGCAGTATCCCAGCCCTCGCGCTTCCTTCGGGTGGCATGGCAGTTAGGCACCGAAAGGGTGTTATAGCTGAGAAGTTCAGTATTTTTTCTAAATTCAGTACCGCAGTATTGTGAAAAAAGGCACGTTCCTCATCGACTATACCCAATTTCGAAATAATTCAAAGTTTTCATGCCGTTTTGATGACCGTCTATCTAACTGTAGTTGTGTAATCCGTTGTCCATTACGTCGACACGAAACTGAAAGGCATGCTTATGAGAATTTCAGGAGTTTGTATCACCAGCGTTCAATTTTAAGTACAATTTTAAAGGTGTGTTTCGTAATTTGGTGTAAGTGACTTCAACAAGCATCAAGTTCTGCCTTAGCAGTTTGTGTTCGGAAGAAATGTCCTCCTGAATCGATCAGATGTCCTTCCTAGCTGAAGAAATAAACGTAACTTTAGTTGAAAGTCGACAAACACTACTTTAATTGCCAGGGTGTAAATTCAGCGTGTGCTTGCTAGAAAGTTGGCTGCTTTGAAGGAATCACCGTCAAAACAATTGCGTTCCGGCATTTGTCCATGTAACAAGAGGCGTACGCATTTGCAAATTCTCAGCCATCGAGAATGTGAAGTTGCACTTTTACACTTTAAAAACTTTGTATCAAACGAAATAGGCACTTCGACAATGTTGCAGCAAAAGTGTACGGGTGGGGAGCGCCACAGAACCAACGTGTTGCGAGGTAACAATCCCGTCAGCCAATAAGCATACGTATTCGGCTGAATGTTTATCGACCAATTACCGAACTGCTACACAATGTTTGTTCGAAAGTGAACACAAATCACGGTCACCCGATCAACAAAATCCATTTGTTTTAGTGTGGACTGTCAGACGGATTGTGGACAGTCATATGACGAGCATTTTACGCAATCCTGTCCAGAAATTACCGGGAGCTGGACGAATCGCATTCAAGCTCATTAGAACAACCAGTACGGAGTTTAGAACGGCCGGCAACAATGCAGTTTGGATGTAAAATGAAACCCTAGTGCGTACCCTTAATACAAAAATCGGTTAGCTGCCACCCGAAGGAAGCACGAGGACTGGGCTACTTCCAGGTTGCCCAAGCCTAGACAGTGAAAGTCGAGAGGCAGAGTTCGGGTTCGAACCACGGACCTTCCGGTCAGTAAATCCGTGCCTCCTCCAGTGTGCCGTCTCGTCCCCCTCAATATATGGAGATCTCCTTGGAGAGAACTCCGTTGAATTTCAGGGTCACAACATATTTGCAATCAAAACCTAATGTCCATAGTTGCGCCCGTCATACGTCGGTGTAAGGTGCTAAAATAAAGAGCCATCCCATGGCATATCAACTGCTAAGTGTGTCTGAATAAATGTGCACGTATTTCCAGTAGCAGTGTGCACATCTGTTTAGGGTAGTGCAACCCGTTGCAAAGTAAGATCGTGTCAGGACGAGATGGTCCAAGTGGTCAGAGCGCGAATTTACCGACTGGAAGGTCCGTGGTTCGAACCCGACCTCTGCCTCTCGACTTTCCCCGTCTAGACTTGGGCAACCTGGCAGTATCCCAGCCATCGTGCAACCTTCGGGTGGCGTGGCAATTAGGCACTGAAAGAGTGCTACAGCTGAACGAAGCTTGTGTCAACGAGAGACTCAATTGAATCTCATCTAAATCTCTCGTTACTGATATCCGTCAACCGGATTCGGCGCATGAATAACGCCAGCTTAATTCGTAAATGAATGCATTTCTTAGTTGTCGTCTTCAGTTATGATGAGCTTAACTATCTCTTCATCCGTACACATTTTCGTCAATCGAGACGAAATTTAGAGATATGGTTAACAAATAAAAAGTTACGAAATCCCAAGCGTTTATAAAGACTTTAGGAGGATATACAGCCCCAACGCTTACGCTGGGTGGTTTCCAAATGCAGACCACGGATCGACAACATCACATACTGAGCAGTCACCTGCACTAATCGCCATGTGTAGTTGCTATTATTCTCCCATGTTTGGTAGTTATTACTCATCGTGTTTTTCTGATAAGACGTCTTTTTAAACAAAGCTCACGGTCCTGCGGTGTCCGCACAAGTAAGAAATGAGACAACTTATCTCTAGGACCAGATGCTGCATCTTTGCTCATTTTTTTGGAAAATGGGGGCGAAACAGCTCAGCGGTTAGAGCGCGAACTTACTGACCGGAAGATCCGTGGTTCGAATCCGACTTCCCCTGTCTAGGTTTGGGCAACCTAGCAGTATCCCAGCCATCGTGCTTCCTTCTGGTGACATGGCACGTAGGTACCGGAAGGTTCCTACAGCTGAATGATTTTTCTGGAAAACAGTTGGTAGTTTTGTAAAACAAAATGTTTTTGCTTTCCTGGATGACACTAGTGGAGAGAGGTAAGTGCATAAAAACTTCCCTGCTCACTAATCTCTGTGATCGCGAATCAGCCCGTTTGGACGTCATGACCTTGAACTTTAATTTTGCGCGTTCTCGGGCAATTATTTCTACTCAACTAACTTCGTCTTGATGACCATCATTTAACGCAGCGAATTGGAAGATGGCAAATTGCGTTCTTTGAACCTAATAACTTCGACTTCCGACCCCTTTTGGCGATCAGGAAAATCGATGTTCACTCCAACTAGCTTCCATCCTTTGGCTTGTTTAGTTACTTGGATTTCTGCTCCTTTAGGGTTTCTGCATTTCCGTCGATTAGAGAAGACAACTCATCTCAAATCGCAAGGGTACCGCTTAGAAAAACGAAGGGCTGAACAAATGTGCTGGTATTTGGTAGACCAATCGAATGCGAGTTTGGTTGACCACTACGCACTACAGGTCACAAGTAAATCATCCCAACTACGAGTTAAAAAGCTGTCTCGACCACATTAAAAATTTATAGACGCAAGCAAGATGAAAGGAAATGCCCAACCGTTTGCTGGTCAATTGCTAAGCTGGGCCAACAGATATGCAGCAACATGGTCGACAATAGAAAGCTCTAAGTTAAGTGTCCGTTGACTAACGGTAAGATCGAGCAATACACAGAAGTACTGTTCATGTGCACTTTGAGGACCTTTGTACACTTTTGACGAGTATTATGGATAACCCTGTATGACCGTCACGGAAAAAATTCTTCCTGTTTTTCAGACCCGACAACAATAGCCTATCTACTTCCTCGACCCCGAGATGGTTATGTTCAAGTCGGATCAGAGATCACGTGCTATGCGGATGGTCATCCGCCTCCAATGCTTTCCCTGCGACTGGCTCAACCACTTCGCCCACCAAAACCGCTCACCGAAGAGGAGCTGGAAGCGTTGCGACAGGTTGGAAGACTGCCGAAAACACAGGAGGATGATCCGGTGAGCCGCGAGATTCTCCTATCCAGCTCTGGTATCAATGTGATCCCGGAACAATTGGCGAAAAGCTCCAGACCAGTTAGTGCGGATGAAGACCCCGCTCTGGCATCCTCTGCAACATTGCAACAGTTGCCTCACGAGACCCGGGGTTGGTTTACTGGCTCACAGAAAGAACCTTTTGAGGAGGCCAGACGTATTCCAGGACTAGGCCTGTCGACAGTCGAGCGCCATCGTCTCCTTGGCCTCCATCCAAATGAATACAGTATCCAGGGTGCAACATTTCGTCTCGCTCCAAATGCCACACCAGGTATTGAACTTTCCCTCACCTGTACGGCACGTAACGTGCTACCAGGAGACACAACGTTCTTGGGCATGAATGGCACAGTGACCCGAACAAGATTCGTCGTATCGGGTAGGTTTTTGCATCGAATTTATCCGGTCTATATACTTGTTTCATCCGCCCCGATTTCATTAAGTGATTTGATTTTCGAATCCCTTATTCATGCCCCTTTTTTGTTCCCATAGTTTGCACGGTTTTTACGCTTGCTTGCACGCTTTCAAACGTGTGTATACACACCCCGGAACTCTAGATTGAACATTCACTCTTTTGTCTATTTACGTCAGTCTTCCACTATGTATATTCCCGTCTCTTTTCCGCGTCATAGTCTCGTGAGTTATCATCCGTGAATATTTCATCGATTTCCCTCGTCCCAGCAACCAACCGTCATCATCCATTTACTATGGATTGTGACAATTTAGTCGTGTTTCTTCGGTTGTCCAGCTGTTTTTCATTTTGCCTATCTACAATTTGCCTGTCGTCCCAACCAGGAGCGTTGGTAAGCCTGAGTGTGGATGTACGCTGACTTTTGCCGCTTCTGCTCTCTCCTATAGGACCGACATATAGACAACGATCATTCATCTCTGTCATACCGTAGTTGCATGGATTACCGTTCCCGTTTCCAAGGCAATGGCGCGCTGTGCACAAACAAGCGAACAAGATAAATGGAGGCTATTTTAGATTACGCGGAATCATAGCAGGTTGAGTTATTATTCACTTCGTTAGATCCAGTGGGGAAATTTTTCAAAAGCGCTTTTCTAACGATAAAGTAGGTCAGATGCCTGTTCGTCGACATTATGTGAAAACGAAGCGTCCCGGTTTTTGATAGTTTAAATTCCAACAATGAGCCCATAGTTGTAGGACTGGCTTTTTAATTACCGGACGAAACTGGGATTTTTACCAAGTAGGGTTCGCCTGTCTAGTTCCGATAACCTCCGCACGGAAACTTTGCCTCACGGGGCATTTAGTTCAACGCGTAGTTGCTTTTCTTGCGACACCTCTACGAAATAGTTCAGCTGTTCTTTTACATCTGTTCCCCAACTCAAAGAGGTTCTAAGTAGCTCTTTTAATGTGGCAGCGGAAGCACGGTCACCACGGAGGACAGGGTTGAGTGAACCGAAAGAACGCTAACCTGCCTCTGTCAGTGCACTTTGTGAAATTGATTAATGGTGCTTGAAGGGATTCTCCAAGGACAGCTAGTGGACACGTGATAGGCCTTTCCTCACTGCTCAGTTACCTTTGACCAGAGGTGGCCAGATAGAGATTCCCACTAGAGGTGGTTCGTTTTCCCTGCTCAAAATCACTCGAGCGGAACCACGTCATCCGAGCTTTAGACGCACACTCGGCAGCTGACCAAAGTTTGCAGTCATTAGTCGTAATTTCGTTGAACTTGGTAGCAAGCGTATCAGGAATATCTCGATCAGGCCGTCTAAAAATGGGACAACAGAGTGAGACTTACAAACAGTGGGAAGGAAACTTATTGGTACTTTCATACAGATTAGACAGATTTCCACCAGTCGGTTATCCTTCCGGAAAAAATGTACAAATTAAACAAGTCTTTAAAAAGCTCAGGGGTAGTGACACAATCAGCAGCACGGGGGATGGCATCTTGGTACCACATGCTTTGTTAGATCAGAGGGCATTGAGTTATCTGTGGATCTTGCTGCATAGAAAAAAAGTTAGTTGGGCAGCGAATGGCGTGGGGGGTTCTCTGAAATGAGAGAGGACGTCCTTCCCTCAAGAAAGGACGGGTTGGTGAAGGTCAGCCCTAAAAGTCGAACATACAGATCGCCAAACGGTTGACCGTGACCGCCAGTAAATTATCCAGTGCAATCGAAATAAATTTAGTACCTGACAAGAGCCCGATGCAACTGTGCGGTAGCGTCATGAGTGAAACATGTATACATTATTCCCCGAACCTTCGGGCTAATCCAATCCCCTGCAGCGAAACGGGTGTTAGACTACATGCTCTTTCAGACATGCCAGCCCCCTACATCCTCCCAATGTCTTGCGGGTCGAACTTTTCGGTCAGTCAAACCCCCTTCCTAGACCTGTTCGACCGTGAACTATCATTTACCCTCACAGCCCTTCGTCCACCGACCCTCACCAAATGATGCATTCTGGTCAATTCGTTTGCTAGTGTCGGAGACACCTGCATACAAGACCCCGCTTCGGTTATGCACCTCAAGCCACTTTGGATGAGCTCAATGTTCCTTATTTCTCTCTTCGCGTATCTGGTGACCCTGACACAATGGCTGATGGTATTTATGGTGTGGGAGTTGCACTCAGCCCCAAGGTTGAAAGCGCTTTACTGGACTGGATCCAAGTGAACAGTGGTCTTCAAGAGCAAGTCGTCCTTGTGCTGTGTCTGGCTCAGTTGGGGTAAATTCAGGTCGATGCGGTACACGATGGGCAACTGCCACCTCCCTGGATGGGGACCCCGGGATTCAAATCACCAGTGGTTAATGACAGAAATGGCCCAATCGCGCAGTCAGTGGCGCTCATGCATCAAAGGCATCGCCTTCAATGCGTAGCTACCAAATTTCCGAACAAACTGAACATGCCTTCGCCTCCAAGGCTTGGTTGTATATTCCACTTTGCCGTTTTACGGTGATCGAAACTGTAGCAGCTGGAACCAATATGCATATGGCACACGGTTTATAGCTGATAAATTGATTGATTGATTGACGGTGTTTATATGTTCAATCAGTGTACGTCCCATCAGACTACAGTTGTGAATCTGAGAATCAAGATCTGCCACGACTGTTTCCATCAGCCAGAAGAACTCATCCTGGCAGGTGATATGAACGCACAAGTTATGCAACTAAGCCCGGAAGAAGCACATTTTGGTGGTGGGTTTTCAGTCGATGCTGAGCGTACGGATAATGGGAGTGACTGCTTCAGTTGTGGGCTGATCGTCATCCGTTACTGGTCACTGCAGACTTCCGGCACAACCGCTCACATCGAGTTACTTGGGACCACCAGCTGTAACACCCTTCTGGCGCCTAGCTGCCATGCTACCTGAAGGAAGTACGAGGGCGGGGATATTGCCCATTTGCCCAAACCTACACAGGGGAAGTCGAGAGGCAGAGGTCGGGTTCGAACCACGGACCTTCCGGCGAGTAAGTTCGCGCTCTAACCACTTGAGCCATCTCTCTCCTAGGGACCACCAACCGCAAGCCAGTAGGATCACTTAACGATGGATGATCTCAATTAAAGGTTGCTGTTCTTTCTGGGGTATGCAACTTGAGTCCGATCATACGATTTTGCGGACTCGATTGTCACTTCGCTTTCTGTCAGCATTACGTGTGCCGAAGCAGAGTAGTTCTTTTCATCCAATTCGACAACTTTTAGTAGCTCAACAGTGTCAAGATGATTTGATAAGAAAGCTACTGGGTGCGCCAAGTTGTGCTTATGATGACGATTAATTGGAGCTTAAATCGACGTGAGTGGAAGAAGCTAAGCTGTCTGCTTCTGTGACCGCCTGCCCAAGCTATCCGACTTGACCATATGAACAAAGGATGCCGACGAGATCAGCAGATCTTATGAAAACACTAACGGATAAACTCGTTCTGGTTGACAGCCTCCGCCCTCCTTAATAGGGACTCAGGGGCTCGACTTACTGTTGCTCAGTCACGCAGTCGGTGGCGCTCCTGTATCGAGGCTATCTCCTTCAATATGTAGCTGTCCAGTTTATCGTCCTCCTTAAGTACTATACAATACCAGCTAATGGTCATAGCATCGCCTCCACCGCTCTCCCATTTCCTGGTGATCGAAACTTTGGTAGCTTGAACCAATGTTTTACGACTGCTCAACTGAATCGAACTTCTACGTTGGAAAACGGAAACCTCTCAGTTCCACTAAAAATAGTTTTAACTGGACAACAAGCAAAATGGAATTTAAGATGATTCGTTATCCGTTATGACAAGGTACAGAAGGATCAGGATCACTAAAGACGGTGATGTCGTTCTGTTTTGATCACTAACTCTCAGGTGAATAAGTCCTCATTAAGGACTGTGAGTCTATGTCAGTCTGAGGGTGATTCCTATCGTACTATGTGGGAAGCAGCGCCAACTTGCACTGGTGGTCACTCCGTTTAGCTCATCAATCGATCGACATTTTTATCAATCAACCCTGCCCCTACCAGCTCTTGGGTGGGTGTTGAATTTGCCAGTTAGGCGCACGATTACTCCAGAGTAGTTTAGCTCAGCCTGTGACTGAAGGTTGCAGACAGTCTGATTCGGACATTTTTAGCGACATCAGTGTAGTTTTTCTTCGGTCAATGCGACACCCCGTCCATTCCGTTTTCCAATTATTTCTTAGCACCCGTGCGATCTGCCAACTTAAGTAAGTATATCAATGTTCCGCTGGTTGTTAAAGCTAATTTTTTTTATTCAGGCGAGCGCCTTCCTCCATCTTAACCACGTTTGTTTGACAGCGCTCGCCTGATTTTCGACGCAAGCCATCAGGTAATGGCCTATGGATCTTCCGAAGAAACACCTTGCGACGTGTCGCGATCAATCTAGTCATTGATGTATCCGTTTTCACGGCAGTCTGCATGTCCTTCAGCCGATTTCGATGTCCATTTTGGGATCCTGTTTTAACACAATTTTTGGGGGCATGCATGTCAGACTCCGTTGCATTGCAGGCGGTGTTGATAATTTCGCTGTATTGTTGTTCTCGCCTACTGTTTTTGTTGATGTATTTATGCGCTACTGTTTCTGCCACAATCGTTTTGTGTCTGCTAACCAGTTGGCCTTCGTTCTGCCCATCACCAGTCAGCTGTGAGCTACTGCAGTTAAAGTCACGTGATTTAGGGATCTGTGACAAAGTGAGCGGGGGGCATACCTTGTTCTCGTGAATAGATGGGCTATTAATATAAAGATGCACGGACTCCCAAGTTCCATTGATTTTCCAACTTTTCCCGTTGATCAAATCACTTTTCTTTTTGTGGAGATTTCGTCCTGTAAGTGAAGCCATTCTACGCTGAAAAGCAGAGAACCATAGATTGGCTTCACTTACAGGACGAAATCTCACACTACCAATGAAAGAAAGAAGGCCTTGGCTGCGGAGTTATTTATTAGAAAATGCCAACTGACTAGTTACAGTCTATTGGACAGGGAAGCAAAACTCTCATTTGCATCTTATTTGCAAAAACTGAACACCCATCTTCTCCTGAACGCGTCTTCTTGAACTTTTCTGGATATTCATTGACTCTAATCATTCATTGCTAGAATCCAAGCGAATGCTACAAAGCAACTCCACAAATTCCGCAACTAATCTCCCTTTTCAAGAGACGCGAAGCGAATTTACAAGAACAAAACATGCTACTCGCACGCCTCCCCATCAGTAGTATGACCGTTACACCAATACTCACGCCTCTGGTGGATCGTCTAAATCGAGTCTTCCTAGTATAACAGTGTGGTTTTACGACTTTACTAGGTGGAACGTATCGCGGAGTGGTCTACTGCAGACAACAGAGGATGTCATGATTGTGGACTGGCGTATGCTTTCCTCTTATGTGGAACGTTTTTGTCGAAATTGTACCAGTAAAGCTCATTTGGTTTACTTATCATGTGGCTAGTTAGAACGTTGGACACTGTGTCGTCATCTGTCTATTTTCAAAGGCGAACCGTAACTGTAACAGCGCGTGTAAACCCCGAAGCATTAGATCCACGGATGCTCTCCACAATTTCTCGTCATGAGCGACTGATGTGGACGAGTTCCTCCTCTGTTAAATGCAAAATACTACCCACATACGTACGAAGTGTTTTCCACACAGCCCCCTCTTCAGCGTAAGGCTCCGGTTTCACCCTGCGAAATTCGCGAACTACACTCATTCACAGACTCAACTGAATCCCAGCTAAATTGCTCGTTTATGATATTCTTCTATCGGATGTGCTACACATGCCGATACAATATTCCGAATATTGTAATATATCTTTCCGAAGCGAGCTACTTATAGGCTTGCGGAAAACTCTTTGACAGCCGAAGATTGTTGTCTCCCTTCTTGGGGTTCATCAGGTGGGCGCAGTCATAGACGAGGAATTCATCTGGGACTCGGTGGAGCCTCCCATTGAAACCAAATTCGATGAACTGTTTCTTTCGTTTTTGAACTTCTCGACACAACCCACACTAACGGCCATTTTTGCTTTAACATTCCACATACGGTGCAACACAGTCACAGTTTCTTGACATTGGTCTGAGAAAAAGGTGTTCGTAACGTCCAGTTATTGCAATCTTGCAATCACTCTCCGTCAGAAATGAATAAACTGACACGAAGAACTTCCGTATCACCTGTTCACAGCGGCGGGATGATAGGTCTATTTCAGTTTAACCTAACTGCTGATCGCGAACCAAACCCCGGGCTTTTTGATCGCTCCTGTTTTGGCAACGCAACAGCACCTCTCCCCTCATGCTTTCTTAGGGCTACACGACAGCAAAAGTTGCACTGTTGAATTGTTTGATTTTGTGATTGTGTCTTCCCATCAGCGCAAGTCATTTGATCCAGTTTTCGTCCAGTAACTCAGTAGGTAACATCATGGACTTCCTCGAGAAATACACTCTTGCAAATCACTTGGGTTTTCACGAGAAACTCAACTGAATATCTCGTTTATGATATTCTACAATCGAATGTGCTGCACACAGGCCGCCTCATGTTTCAGTTGGCGTGATATTCGAGATATCGCAGTGTATTTTCACAATGTTGCTGAAAACCCGTCGACAGCCCACGACCGGTTTCGCCCTTCTTGGGGCTCATCAGCCGGGCACAGTCCCCTGAGTTTCCGTGAACCTTATGTTCTAGTTGAACTCAAATTGGACTGTTTTCAAGAAATACACTCATTTGCAAATCAATTTAGTTATCACGAGAGACTCAATGAAACCCTAGTTTATGACATTCTACAACTGAATGGGCTGCACACAGGCCGCCTCATGTTTCAGTTGGCACCTACCTGATGAGCCCCAAGAAGGGCGAAGCCGGTAGTGGGCTGTCAAAGAGTTTTCAGCAACCTTGTGAGTAGTTTCCATCGTGGACTTTCGTTTTCCTTAGCCAAATCCAAATCCCTGCATGGATGCCTTCATATTAACCGCTGGCTCCCGTCTTGAAGGCTAAACAGGTTTTTTATCTAATCGTCCCATCCTTTCAATAATTTCCAATCGGAGCGCCTCTATGTATAATTAATTGACTATTTTTTGATACAGCGTTGATCGTTTTTTCGGTTGTCTGTGAACCTGTTGCTTTTAACGCTCTTTGGATAACCACAACGCCAGGCGTGGGTTTTCTGTGCGGTCAACTGCTTCCATTCCATCTTTACTTGATTGGTCGGAATTTTCGAGGGTTTGCTGCTTCAGATTGATTCCTCCCTCCTGCTTATAATCCCTTCAGCATAGATAGACCGGTCTCTACTGCTATAGCCAATCTTGCTCCTTCTCTGTGTATGTCCAAAACTGGGATGGACGGTCGCTTTTAAAGACAATAATCAACCACCGTGTTTCCATTTCGGGACATGTTGAGATGCCGGGTGGGGACAAATGTGTGATGCACACGATTTGGCAACATTCGCGTTGCAATGGATCTCAGTTAAATTCATTATTTTCAGTCTTTGTGTCTTACACATTGTTCATTCTCCAAATGCCTTGTCTATTGTCTCGGCGTTCATCGTCCATTGCTGCCTTGTCTTTCTGTTTGTTGGAGTTTCCTTTTCTACAAGTATGTGCGGAGTCTTTTTCGCGACAAACCTATTCCCACCTTTGCCGTCTCCCGACCCCACCAAATATAAACATAGTGGGCGACCCAATCAAATGATCTAAGGACGGAACGCTAGACGGATATCTGAACTTGTCTTCGTTCACCAGTGTGGACAATCGGTAGTCTCTGCGTATCTTCCCAAATGCTTTGGTTATGGTTGGGAAGTTTGAAAACTCCCCCGGGCTGTGAAATTCGCACCCTCGAATTGTGATCCTGATCATCTGTGACAGTTTGGACTTTCCTGCCTATCGTTTAGTCTAATGAGTCGATCTGGGATCTTGGTCGTACGTCAGAACCGTACGTGACCTCATCAACTAATTAACACGTAGTGTTGGGTGCCTGAATGACAAGACTCACTCGGGTTAGTGTGCGACCGCAGAATGAGAAAAGATGAAGACTTCACACTTTCGGACGAGTTCCTAGTTTCGCGTAAGCTTGAACCTTCCTATCAGGAAGGTCAGATTCCTGAAAGCAACCACTGAGTGCTCGAAATCTGAGCATCTCAGCTCCACTAGGTGCTGACCAGACAGACAACGCCCCCTCAATGTGCTGCGCGTCACAGCCTTGTATCAAACCCAGACAGCGTGCGTCAGGATTGGACCACGTTCAGACACTGTCCCTCCAATAAATCGCTTGAGGCCGTTGTATTTTCGCACTCGCTTGTTCGTGATATAGCTGTTGTGTTCTCTTCTGTGAGTATTTTCTCCGGCACTAGGCACTGGAGCGGGGTCAGCAGTCAGATACAGCAGATTGGCAACTCAGCAGATATAACACTTCCCGAAAAGCTATCGGTTCATACCTAGAGCTCGTTCGTCCATTCATTTATCTGGTACGCTGTAGTTTGTGTTGGACTTCTGGTAGCAAATCTGACATGACCAGTGTGAAAACATCGCCTAGCTGCTTTTGCAACCGTCATCGTTGATTGCGCAACACAGGCCTCGAACACTGATGTTTCCTACAACCGTAGTTTATTTGAAAGTCCTATTGTGACGAAAATAAAAGTGGATCGGGAAAGGACTTGTTGGCCTGCAGAAACGCATTCAGGCAGTTTGGATAGGAACTGTCAAGGATGCCGTTGCTATAGGTTGGCAGCCATACCTTGAAGCGTTTCAAACCAGGTGCCGTGGGGATCACTCGGTCTGGAAGTTGGGTCGCATCGACAGCACCCAGACCTTTCGTGATCTCTTTCACACGTCTGCCAGATCAGTGTGACCATCTCTCTATGCTTGCTCCACTCTTAAATGGGCGCCAAGAAGAGTACGCAAACGATGATTCGGAATGTGCAATGCATGGCCTAACCGCTGCATCTTCTGGTGCTGAACAATTCTTCGGCGAATGTTCCTATTCGTCGGGCTCAGTTTCGTTCGGCGTCAAAAATTCTCCCAGAACGGAGGAGCGTCACTATTCTATCCGATATGCAGTACTTGAGCTGGCACAGTACGACGGGAAAAACTCCCTGCACAGTGCAGACGTGTTGCTCTGTCGTTCCAGGACCAATTGACATCACATAGTGGAACATTTAGAAAAGTCCAAGGGACGGTTTTCTAAATTGTCGCCTTGTTTGGAGCCATCTCTTGAGTTCTAATATTGGTGCTCATGAGACAGATCCGTCTTATCCACACAAACCGAATGTTGGAACGTCGAGAATGCTTCAAACTACTTGTTCCAAGTCACAACCCGCATACATGACAAAATGAAGTTAACCATATCGTAGGACGGAGTACATGAGTGGAAGAACTCACTGTTTGACATGACAGTTGGTTGTAGGCGAAATAGGTCGGTAAAATTATGGTCTGGTTCACGTCCTTACCTGTCAATAGAGGTATGCTATTTTCCTTTTAGTGTACGCGCATCTCGTCATCAACCAAACTCAGACCGTATTCCCAAGGGGGACGCATTCTGGAATATCAGTGGTAATAACGCCATATTTCCGTCGAAGCTTCACAGCTATCGTCCCGTACGACGGGTGTGAATTTCGTCTTGATTCAGCTCGATGATGGAGTTAGAAACTTAACCCAAGTTCGCGGTAGTCCTATATGTTTTCAATTTATCAGTATTTCTTCTTTGTTCACTCGTGCGAAAAAGACCTCGTTGTGGTCCGGAAAACTGGCCAGTGTGGATGCTGGCAATCGATACGGCTCTTCGGGTTTTTTTGGGTTTAGTGGCGCTGTGTTCAGTCTCAAATCCATTTGTTGGTACCAAATGAAAAAAATCACGTGACTATCTGTATACTTTTTATCCTATCCACTACATTGAACTCCTCCTGAGGATGGTAGCTGTAAAAATCTGTGGAATGAAGTTTTGATGCAACCAATGTGGTCCATGTGCACTAATCGTACAACGGCTTAGACGCGACCGATCGCCATTGTGCACTGGCTGAGTGAGTTTCCCGTCCCTCTCTTGTCGACCTTACGTGGCTCCGGTCGATGCCATTATGGTCAGGTCGTGTGTACCACGGCGACTGGAGAACCTATTAGTGCATTGCTGATGATGGCCATAATACAATTCAGAAGCTTGGTTGTTGATCAGGTGGCTGTTGATCTGTTCGCCGAGCTTGGCAATTGGCTTGCAAACGTTTCGTCACCATACGAGGAGACATCATCAGTGCGCAGTTGAGTGGGTACTTCTTCCTTGCCTGAGTGTGTTTATATAGCATTCGAAGGCTATCTTTATCTTCTGACGTGATTAGCTACTTAAAGTGTAACGAGTTTAGTGAATATATTGGTCCGTTTGTGATCTTTGTTGCATTGTGGTGTGCGTTCCTTTATCTTCATTGGTTATCTTACCGCCTTCTATTTTTTGTATTTTGTTCTCCCCGGCCTTGGTTCGTATTGCGTTGTTGTCTGACGTTCTCGAGTTTGATTGGTTGCTTATGCCGCCCTATTTAACCCACCGTAGAGGCTAGTGTGCCTTCGTCCGTCGATTGATTTGTTGCTTTAATTGGACGCTTCCTCCAATCTAATTGCTGTGTCCGTTTGACTGCTGCTTTCCTCCTTCTCTAATGAGTTTCTCGTCTGGTTAATTTTACAGCTCTAAGCTCGGTGGTTCAGGGGTTCTCTCGCTCTTACTGGGCTGGTAAATGGGATCAATTCCGATAGAAGGTGGTAAGATAACCAATGAAGATAAAGGAACGCACACCACAATGCAACAAAGATCACAAACGGACCAATATATTCACTAAACTCGTTACACTTTAAGTAGCTAATCACGTCAGAAGATAAAGATAGCCTTCGAATGCTATATAAACACACTCAGGCAAGGAAGAAGTACCCACTCAACTGCGCACTGATGATGTCTCCTCGTATGGTGACGAAACGTTTGCAAGCCAATTGCCAAGCTCGGCGAACAGATCAACAGCCACCTGATCAACAACCAATAAACTCACCCGAGCTACCAATATTTCAACAAATTACCAATTCAGAAGCTATATGCACTAATAAAGGTTTTTAGTATAGTTGACAGTGGTGAGGTGCCACACGCATAAAAATAAATAATTCAAAACGGGAGAAAGTCAAATGGAGAACTTATCGTCTGTGAGAGTTCCTTGGTGAAAGTCCGGACGGCGGGAACGTGTTTTCTCCGCAGTACGACTGCTACACGTGTTCCATAATTGTCCGTGGACTTGTGGAGAGTGGTTGATCTCCTGCTCCCTCCGCGCGCAAGGGTCTGTGTGTTGCTCGTTTTCGGTTTCCTTATATATGGATCCGTTAGCGTGTGCGTGCGTGCGTCAGCACATGGGTAGTTGCTACGCTCACTAGACGGTACAGACAATCGATGTCCGATGAGGCACCTTAATGTGACGTGGCTTGTGAGTATGAGAAAAGACAAGTCTCGTGATCCAGTGAGCGACTTTGAGCTGAACAGTCAAGTATGTGGGTGACCGGCTAGCTACAGAGCACACCATCGCATGTGTTTCTGAATTATCGATCATCCCCCTGATTTCGACTCAGTCACCTTCGAGCGTCTCCCCCCACATCTCACTTTGTCTGCATTCGCGAGCATGTTGTCGATCCGAAATTATGGCAAATCAACGGTTCGTCTTATCTGGCATCCTAGGTCGTTCTTCATTTTTTTGTTCACCTTGGTTTGTCCAGCAAGTGCGGGCTTGACCTGAGCACGGGTACACCGCACCAATGAAGCTTCGTGATTTTCCATATGTGAGCAGTCTCGCTGCATCCGTCAGCCTGTTTCTCACATGCCTGTCTGTAAAGCATTCAGTTTTATCAAGAAGTCGAGGTTAGGGGAACCACAGATCGTGTAAGGAGGAACCCAGGTGATAATAATCTGACTAAAGGTGAACAGACATTCGTTGCCGCGGTTGCCTGTCACATTGAACTGACCCGATGGACCTTTGCGCTCCACTGGCAATGTGATTTGCGGTGGTCAAAATGAACTGAACGTTTCTTGGTTCAGGGGTGGGTGGATGGTGAACAAGAGAGGAGGCAGTGCGGAGTTGATAACGCATAATTGTCAACTCATCTAGATTGTTTGAGCGACCATTTATTTATTCCTGTGGCTTGGTGTAACAGGCAACTCCCCATTGTTTGTGTTCGTCAGGACAGTGGTTTATGGAATGCCTAGAGAAAGGGAGAACAGACTTTTGTACTTACTTGGTATGTTGCCAAATTCTTTTCTACGTCTTATCGAACAGCTCTACATGACACTTACCCACAAACACTTATTCCGGGGAAATACTTTTGACAGATTGCATACGATTTAACCTACGACTTACAGGCTAAACTTACGTCCCGGTTTCCCTTACCGCCTTGTTCATTCCAGCTGTATCCTATACCAGCTTGGCCATCTCATTGGGCGTGTGTGCGTGCGTGTTGTTGATCTTGCTCGTCATTATTGCTGCGATGCTTTTGCAAAGACGAAGACAACCTCAATCGGACACGGATCGATTAGCAGCCAATGGAACGAAGAAGTGAGTGGCGCCATTTTCCGTTTCTGATTACATACTGTCTGTCGAGTCATTGAATTGTCAGTCCGGCGTTCTCGAGAACTGTTAGGGAGGTTGTCTAGGACTAAGGTATGCATTACAGGACGCTCTCAACTCTTTCCGTCTGCGACTGAGAATGTCAACAGGCTATGAAGTTTTCATTCCAAATAAATGTTTCTACGAGTCATTCGAACTGTTTCAACGATATATTCAGGAGTTGTTTATCCCTGCATCATGCCTCAAAATACACACTCGATTATATTCAGACTTGGCAGGACTCGATTCATCCACGATCGAGATAAATCACGGCAACAAACGAACGTCCAGGGCAGATGACAAAGTTTGTATTTGTGCCGTACCCATACCGAGTTATCATATCAGATGAACAGACATGTGAACGGGTAACTTGAGGGAATGAGGAAAGCCAGGGCTGGAATGAGAGGCTGAGGGGATTCGGGAACCGAGGCGTACACCATACAGGGCAATCGAGGTTGTCAGTGGGATGTTCACATTTGGCCAATATTGAATTGGACTACGAGGACATCGGAATCCAACGGATGATACGTTTGATTACGGCAAATTCGAAGTTTCTCGGGCCACCATATCCAAGCCGTTCATTCTTGTCCTTTATCTATGGATCGATTGTAATCGCTGCTCATCGCTGAACAATGACTCACCAATTTATCCATTTTTTCGTCACGAATCAAGCCACCCGGTCTGTCTTGTTACCTTCGGTTGTGAAGGTAGGGCTACTTTTGAGTTCCACTTACATATTTCCCCTTGCACCATATCACGTCGTTTTCCTGGAGAGTTCTTGTACGTCGCTGTACGGAGGCGAGATGGCTCAGTGGTTAGAACGCGAATTTACTGACCGGAAGATCCGTGGTTCGAACCCGACCTTGGCCTCGCGACTTCCCTTGTCTAGGCTTGGATGACCTACCAGCATCCCGGCCCTCGTGCATCCTTCTGGTGGCATGGCAGTTAGGCACCGAAAGGGTGCTACATCTGAACGATCTTTATACGGTTGGCGGGACCGGACTACGACCGAACTGTAGTGACTCATTTATTTTCACTAGCTGTCAGATAGTCAGCTTCAGTGAACTCGATTCCCGCCTAATCTCTGTCCTATTGTCAAATGCTTGTTGTGTACGCCTGTTTGATTGGCAAAAGGATCTTCCGGTTTCTCACTTGTCCTTCATTCGCGCTGTTTTCGACGCTGGACTGCATCACGCAAATCAAGAATGCTGCTTACTTCACCTAGGAATGCTGCATTGGTGAGCCACAGTGGTTCTCACCCTGGAACGGCCACATAAGAATCAATTGGTATCACAGTCCGTTAAGAACTTATAAGGCCCCCAAGATTACACGGACTACAGTGTAGCTACGTTGCCAGCCGTCCAACGTCACCACACTCATGGAGGTTGGTTGAAGTTTCAGTCGCACTCCTGGTCGTTTCATGGTTGAATATTATGTCGTCAACCTTCCAAGACCATGTCAACCTAGTCTACTTGTGATTTCGAGGGGCAAACCTTGAATAGTATCAAACCGTGTCCAAAAATACGCTTTCCGCCTGGATTACTGTGGGCTTTCTCGTCAGTGTCAAGCAAATTGGCATAGTTGCAGTTCGTGCGGTCTATTGGGAGGAACGACTGAGGATTTATACTGTTCGTTGTTGCAAAACACAACACTGATGACCATATTCGTGCCGCTGAGTAAAAAATAAAAGTGGTTTCGGAGTGTTTTTCACACGCAACACACTACTCGTAAAGTTGCTGAATATTCTTCGACAGTGCTCACAAATACCTTCGCCTCCTTAAGTGAAAGCGGCAAGGCTTGTCGATCCTGCTAACATACTTTCATCATCATCATCGACACGATGACATCAGTGTTCAACACCGATGCTTCACTGCCGTACAACCATGATTTATTTGAAAGCCTTATTGTAAAGAAAAGAGTAAAGGTGGACGGGG